TGTAATAATGGGTATGTATGCATGTATTTTTATGCACATATACACACATATATGTAATGTATGTATGGAAACAGAGAGAAAGCAGGCAATACAAGAAATGCAGTAAAATATTAACAATGGAGAAATCTCAGGGAAGTGGGTTAAGAGTTCTTTGCCCTGTTCTGGCATCTTTCCGTAAGTCAGAGAAAGTCATCTTTTCTGTAAATCATCTTTTCTGCCTGAGGCCAGGAAATAGAATAAAAACCCTGGCTTAATATGTTTATTTATATCCTTTCCTTTACAATACTCTGAGGGGATAGATTAAGAAGGAGGACAATGTTTTTATGCTTATTTGGAGAAATAGTTTTAAATGAATTTCTTTTTTAACTTCATGGATTTTCAATAGGCATATTACAGTTCAATGAGGAAAGGAATCTTGACTTACTCATTTTTATGGTCCTAGCACCTAACACATTTGTAATTTAGTCATTGTTATGTACCTTACCAGGAATTCCCAATATTATTCCAATCAAAAATAGTGACCTGAGTATTAAGAACTCTGCCACATGGGAAGGAAAAAACTGTCTATGTCAAGTTATAATATGTCTGACTAAGAGCAGGAAAACATCAAGGATTACCTTTCTTAGGAACTTGACGGAGGAATAATTATCTGTTCCAAAAACAGAAGAGTGTATAACCAGTAGCAGAAGCCTTGACCTAAAGAATGGCAAACTGTTGAGGGTTTATGGTAAAAATAAAACAAACAACAAAAGTAGAATAAAATGTTTAGAATACAAATGAAGTTCTTGGAGAAAAGACGAGACAGAAGAACATTTTTTTTAAATGTGAGGCTCTGAAAAATGATTAGATTGAACTATATTAAATTGCTGATAAAGCATATATCCTAATAGTTAAAAACAAGATCATTTTAAAATCTGAAGGAATACATTTTCACTGCAGAAACCAAAACTCTCCAAGATATTAGACAGTTATCAAAATTAAACTCAAAAGATTACATATAGCTCCAATATCATATCTTTCCTGGAGAATACACACATTTTTAAGTACATTTTATAAGCTGCTGGTCCCACTGTTGAACTAGAAGAAAAAAAAGTTCTAGGTGCCTGGAGATCTATATTACAATTAACCATAAGGAACTTCAGAATTGTCTTTTCTAAAGTATTAGATTGATAGTATATAATTTGTCTGCTTTAGAAAATAAACAATATTAATACCTTATGAAATGAGAATTTATTCAAAGCATTAGTAGAGGATTAAAAATTGTTATAACATATTACAACTTCTTTTTCTTACAGAGGAATCTTAAGGTTGAATCTTTTCTCATATATTATGAGTAAAACAACATTCAATATTACTATAGATAATAATCTATGGTTTTTAAGTGGAGATAAAATACTTTTTTAGAACCAGTGTAAGAACTGAATGAAATTATGTATATAAAGCATTTAGCATGGTAGTTAGTATAAGTTAAGCACTCAATAAATGGCATTTAGTGTATTTATTCTTATAGAAGGATATGAAACAAGCCCAAAGTACAGCAAAGTGACTTCAAAACCTATTAGAGATGTCTGTAAAAGCAGATGGATAGAATCACAGTCAAATATCTAGACTGGCAAATTCAATGAGGAAAGGAATCCTAATGTATTTATACTTGTAGTCCCAGAATCAAACATAGTGCCTGGCACCTACAGCAGGCATTCAATAAAGGTTTACTGAAATGAAGTGAGTATGAAAGTAAGTTACCTGCAAAAGAAAAAAAAGATAGTCTGAGATTGTCTGAAAAATAAACTTAAGAGTCCAAAAATTGTTATTCCCTAAGCAAATCACTTTGAGAAAGGAAATAAGATATATAAGCATTTTTTAAAACAATTCATTGGGACCCCTGGGTGGCTCAGCGGTTGAGTGTTTGCCTAGGGCCCAGGGCATGATCCTCGAGTCCCAGGACTGAGTCCCGCACCGGGCTCCCTGCATGAAGCCTGCTTCTCTCTCTGCCTGTGTTTCTGTCTCTGTGTCTCTCATGAATAAAAAAATAAAAGTTTAAAAAAAAATAAAATAAAATAAAAAATAAAACAATTCATAGAAACTCCTCTCAGACTGGTTTTTAAAATAATGATTGAGCCACTTTCAAATCTATATTGGCAAATGTGTCACATATAAAGTCTAATATCACAGAAAAGTATTTTTAAATTTCATCTAAATAAATGTTGTGTCCATCCTCAATGAAGGAAAAAGTACCCAGAGCATTGAGGAATCTTTTCTAACTTCCATTCTAGGAGACTAAGATAAGCTTAATTCAAGTTCTTCCATCTATTTATATATGAAAGCTTGAACTTTTACTTACAAGTACATTGTAAAGACACAGGTTTCACTTTCACAAGTTCAACTGCACACTCCAGAAAAGGAAGAAGAAAGAAAGAAAATCAACTCTCAAAAGTGGGCAGTGCAATAGGAGTACAAAAGAATAACCAAAGAAACTTTTGTCTCAGCAGCCACTGTTAGAACTCACCGTTATGGCATAATCTGCATGGTTTGGGGACATTTTCATATTGAAAACTCAAAATTCCCAGTGCAGTCGGCAAAGGAAAAAGTGTAACGTGAAATACAGTGCTATCTTCCTCACCCTACTTCCAAAGATAACAGGGATCAATAGACTTAAAAAAAAAAAAAAAAAAAAAAAAACTTTTCTAAGTTACAGCCCATCACCTCACCCATATTTGGAAACTCATCAATTTTACGAAAAGCAACACCTTTAATAACATACTCAACTCTGAACTGTGCTTGGCTTCGGAAACAAACCAGTAAAGTATACTTCCAGACAGACAGCTGGAGCTACATCTCCTGAACCTACTTAAACTAAAATCTGTGAACAATATAAAGTTACAAATCAAATAGCCCCAAAACAAGTGCTAAAAGAAGGGTTTGAAAAGAACCACAAGAATCATTAAACACATCTACCTTTTTTAACACAATGACTACGTTTCAGGAAAAAACAAAACAAAACAAAACAAAAAAACCAACACTACCAGTTTATATTACAGAACAGTTTACAGAATGGTTAACAAAGAACCTGCAATACACAGAGTAAAATTATTCTTAAATTATTATTCGCTTCCTATAGAGCCCTGGAAAGTGTCATAAGTAAGAAGATGTGTAACAGCTATTGTTCAGTCACAGAAAAGCATTACAATTATTTTTAAATCTAACTTCTGGAAAGTTCTGCAGTGGTAGTTCAAAAAGCAAACTACATTCAAAGAGGAAAAAATGCCTCGCCCGAAATCTGAAAATACACACTGGATATTCACAGTTAATTTCTTTTTTAAACTAAGAAGCAGTAAAGTCATAGGCACAACAGTGTGTAACATCTGCTGGTAGCTGATCCAAATCTGTAAAAAAAAAAAAAAAAAAAAAAAAAAAAAAAAAAGATCTCTCTGAAATTAACGACTAAAAATATTATCTTACCAAAAACAATCTGATATGATCTTTAAAAATCATATGTGTTTTTTAACCCCTGACAATGCAAAACTTTCCAATATAAATTCTTCCACATCACACACATGCACACACTCTGTAAATTTACATCTACTAAATGTAAATCCAAAACACTAAAAATTTAAAGGCATAAAAACGTACTGGAAACATGAGGCTTTTGTTTTACATTCATTTCCTTAGATAGCTTTTCTGGAAAGGGTCTTCATTCCAAAAGAAAATTGTTTACTATATCAATTCCGTGTGAATAGACTTTGTGAGACTAATTCCTAAAACCTCCTCAGGAGATGCTTAATTAAGGCTCTAGTTCCAATTTCCTGCGACTCAAACGGCAACGTACAGAAAAGAGCTTATACACAATCAAGAAGGGAGAGGAATGCAGGTCCAGGGAGCGACCACTCTTTTGTTTTGGTGGCAGACGCTGCAAAAATAAAGGTCCATCGGAGCTATCTGCACCTATCCCCACCCATCACATCCCTGCAGAGCACTTTCACCCATCCGCTCAAGACCCTCTAGTCCACGAGAGTCGCCGAACCCGCGGCTTTCCACGTCCCAAAGGACGGGCGGGGGAGGTTGCCGGGTCTGGGATACAGAGAGAAAAGGAGGGAGGACACAGGATCTTTGAGGACAGAGGGACAAGGAGATGCATCTGGCTGAGGGGGATGAGACGCGCCACTGAGACCCTAAAAATTCGCTGGGAGAACAGCCCCACGGGACCGACAGAGGATGCTGCCGGTTCCGAGACGGGGACAGACAGACAGGGGTACAGTCTTCTATAAGAAGAAGGCGACACATTAGTGGCAGACCCGGCAGGGCGTGAACTAGGCAGCGCTGGATTCGGAGCCCCAAGAGGGCGGAGATAGCCTCACTCACACTCGGACGGTAAAGCGGGGACTTACGGTTACTTCCCGGGCTGAGGGTTAGGGCCGGGTGGACCCCGCAGCTCCGCAGTTCTGCCGCCGCCGTGGCCGCCTCTGCCTCTCGCGCCGAGCAGGTGACCTCAGGTGCCCTCCCCGCCCCACCCACCCAGGCGGGCGCCCCCTCCGCGCCGGCCCAGGTGCACCCGCCGGGCAGAGGCTGCTGGGGCTGAGAGTGCGCACTAGAGGCCCGCGAGGAACGCTGCGTGAGACCGACGCGCCCGCGACGAGACTCAGACTGGGCGGGCGCCCCCCATCCCTCTCGGGCCGCCTCGCCGCCTCACTCAAGGGAGGGGTAGAGGGGGCGGTGGCTTTTGCCTCCGCCTCGCGGTCAAGTCCGCCTCATGCTCCAGCCTAGCGCGCGCGCACGCAGCCCCGGCCGCCCTCCTCCCCTCCCCCGCCGCCGGCTCAGCCGCTGGCGTGCCGGCCGCTGCCACCCGTGTCCTCGAGCCGCCGCCACCAGCCCCAGACAGCCCGCAGCCCCAGCGGGAAGCAGCAGGAACGGCAGCCGCTTGTCCGTCGACCCGGAAGCTCTTCCGCGGCCCACCGCGACGCTGCAAAGGGTGCCACCCCGGAAGTGGTTTCCTCGCCCCGGTAGCGGCGGGATGGAAAGCAAGGGCCTCTGAAGACCTGGCAACGCCTGATTTCGGGAGTGCTAATCATGCTGAGGAGCGCGGAGAGGGAAGGACAGTAAGGAACTAGTCGGCCAAAGTTTCTCCGGGCCCAGGGACTCTGGCGCGTTTTGGGAAGCGCGGCTGAACACGCCAGGCGGCTTCTGGTGGCCACCAAGGGTTTTCCTGCCACAGGAAGTTAGGCCTGGCCGCTGGGAAACGGAGGAATGAGAAAGCGGTGACGGCACCCCGCCCCGCAGGTGACTGTCCCACCCAGGGAGCTGAATGTAGCGGCCCGGGAGGCGCTCGGCCGCCCTCACGGGTGAGACGACGAGCGAGAGCCACACTCCAGCGAGAGAAAGAAAACAGAGGTGGGAGGCTGAACTGTCTCCACATCTGGTTTCTCCAGGCAAGGCATTCATTTCTTACATGTAGTAACAAAGAAGCCCAAGCCACTTTTGGGGGGCGGCTCTTTGAGCTAAGAGGCGTGCACGGCCTTTCCAGGTAGTGGATGTTGATGGGTGGCGGCAGAGGAAAACCCTGGGCAGGGAGGTGTTGTGGGTTTTGTTTTCTGTTTGTTTGTTTGTTTGTTTTTGGTCATTTCAGGGAAAGCGATTCACAACTTGTTATTCCAGCTCGCCTATCTACACTTCTTTCCATCTTTTGAGGCATTTGGCTCTTTGCTTTTTATTCATGGGTTTTTTTGTTTTTTTTTTTTAATCTTCAAAAGAAATCTTTGATGCAGCTGGCCTGACTGAGGATCTCACTCCCATTCCCTTCTCACTCTTTCGGAGAGCTTGTGTGCCTTCACAGTTTCTGTTTGCAAATGCTTCGTTCTCTCTGCATCTACAGTCTCTTAACTGCTTTGAAGGCCTCATCTTATGGGGGGAAATGCCGAAAATTGAAGTACGTTTTCGTAACAGTATAAAAACAATTCATTCTATGATCTTTTTGCCCTTAGCCCCAAGCTACTGTATTATTAGTTGGTTCCCTTAGAATTGGGTTGCAGAACTACAGCAGCAGCTGATATATAGCATATTTAGATATAGTCTGTTTGAAATCATGCTCTCCCAAATAACCTTAAATAACTTTGGTGTTCGCCGTAGGATTTCATTTGGTTCCCAATGCCAGTATTACTTAGTTTCTTCTCTCTTAGCCAAATTCAGTGTAATTGTCTTCAAAAGCAATTTGCAGATTATTAAATATCTAAAATTACAGAACAGAACGTCACTTAACAGAAAGAAAGCCTTTGAAAATTATCGGTGACACTTGTTGACCCTGATAAGTGATGATTAGTAGAATTGGTTGAGGGACAGGGAGAAAAGCAAGCTGACTTAGAAGTAGCACTGATGGCTATTTTCTATTGTACTTTATTAATACTTCCTCTCTTTGTAGCAAAAGGATGAGATTTTTATGGCCAACAAATAAATTCCTCTAGAGGAATTCTTCCTGACATTTAGTTGCCATCTCTTCTCTTTAATGTTATAATGCTTTGAAATAGTGACTTGTTCCTGGAGAATGCAGAAGGATCAAGTAACTTAGCTACTCCACCTCAGCTTTTTTTTTCTGTAAAATGGAGATAATAATATTATCTGCCTCCATCAGAGTTAGGGGGAAAATGAATTAATATATGTAAAGTACTTAATATAGTGTCTAGTATGTAATAAGCATTGTAGGTGTTAGCTATTCCGATTATTTTACAAACATTAAATTCTATATACAGAAAACAAAAGCAATAAAAATTTAAGGACTACTTGATAAAATCACTTTGGTTGGCGGGAATAAAAAATATTTGATAAAAAAAATATGATTTTCAACTATGTGGACAGAAAGGTTTTGTGTGTTTGGCTTGGTTTCATTATTTAAAGCTGGCACGGATTTAAATGATTAAGAAACATTGCTTAAGGATGGAAGAAGGTGGATCATTTTCTGTCTCAGGAATGTTTTACAGGGATCTAAGATAATGTCCCATTTTTTGGTTTTTATTTATGAACATACACTTTCTGATCATTGCTGATAATTAGCATATACTTTGCAAACTGGTAAATCCTCTTATCAGCTTTGACTTCTGCTTATTACATTTACAATGCCCATATTCATTTACCAAATCTTCTCTTTTTCTCTGGTGGAAAAGGTTTTAGTTTGTTCTTAAGTACTCAATATAGCAAATGATTTTATTAAAGATATTATTTACGTTTTGTTAAACAGGATTGTCTGCTATGGCAAAGAAATGCTAACAAACCGGCCCCATGGGGACAAAATGGCATTTGTATCCCCCCCCCTTCCCCAGTCATAGTGACAACTAGAAATGCCCCTACATATTTTCAATGATCCCAGGTAGGAAACCAACTCTAATTGTGAAGCATTTCTGCATATTTGTAAGGCCTCATTGCTTGGAACAGTATCATTTATGCCTAAGCATTTTTCAGAATAAAATGAGCCATAACAAAACGCCACCTATTTCCTATTGTTACACTTGAACCTTTATCTAAAACGCAGTCTAAACATATTGCTAACTCTAGTCATACCTTTCTCCATAATTTTTTTTTTAACCTAAGTTGGCCAGCATAGGAATTGATTGCTTTAAATTGTGCTTAGAAGACTAAAGATTACTTGATTTCTCTTTTAGGTGTTTAATAGAAAAAAAAGGTTTGTGTAATTGTGCTATATATGTCATACAGTATATTCACAATACAATGCCTTTTTTAAAAAAAAAAAACAAGGGAGATAGTGCTTGAAATACAAATGCTTGTTGGAAATTCCTCAATGGTTACTTAAAATTAGTCTGAGGAAAAAATGTGTGGGGTGTGTGTGTGTGTTTGTTTGTAAAACATATATTGTGAAAAGAATGTTGGAGTTATCTAGGGAATTGATAATGGAAGTGAAAAATATTCATAAGTCATCATCAGAGAGATTTTATCCATTGATCAAATGTTTTTGACTCTGTAATAGGCATCTTCAAAGAAAATTATAAGGTATACTTTAGCTTATCCAAATGTAAAATATCAAAGTTCTTTCTAAAGATTTTGGAAAGAATGTAATGGCAGCTACCTATTTCCAGGTTCCAAACTATTAACAATATGACATTTACTTGTGTCGTTTATGGAAAGTAAGTGTGTAGTATTCTGAATTATTATTGCAGGTAATTACTTGCTTAGTATTTACAAGATATGTTATAACCACATCACCTTTTTTTAGGTCCAAAAGTTAGATTCTTATGCAGGCTAGACATATAAAAAGTATGTATCTCCATTAAAATATTTTTACTTTTCACAGAAAAGGAAAAAGGACCATAAGGAAATCTTAAAATTATAAGCTAAGGTTTTGAATAGATACAATCATCTCTGGCTTGCCTTTTTGGTAGTATATATATTCTAAGATAGAAAAATAAACATGCTATTTTAAAAATTGTTTTCCAAAGTGATTATGTTGATTATATCTCTTTTAATATTCCAGAGGATTTCTGTGTTTGTTTTGTAAAGCAATGGGAAATCCAGAAAACATCGAAGATGCTTATGTTGCTGTTATTCGTCCAAAGAATACTGCCAGTCTCAATTCTCGGGAATACCGAGCTAAGTCATATGAAGTAAGAACAATTTACTAACATTTGATTTGCTACCATTGGATGGCATTTTTCGTTATCATTTTCATTTACGTAAAGTCTTATCATGTCTTCTAAATTCTTGTTGACAACCTAGATCTTGAAAAGGTAGAATTGATGCTCCTAGGTCTCTGCCCATCATTGTCAAATGGTGTGTGTTGCATGCCTTTTGGCCATTTTTCTGTTGATTGATAGGATATAAATTATTAGATATTAAAAGGTAGTCATTTGAGTTTTCCTTATAATGTACAGATTTAGTTTTTAGTACACTTTATTAAATGGCTCTCAAAAATTTTTTTAAAAAATTGCAAAAATCGGTTTATTCCAAATTCCAGTGGAAATATTGTTCTTGGTTATTTCCCCAAAGAAATCTTTTTTTACAGTTCATTTTAAAATATCTCTCTACCTTTAATTAAAGTTTTAGGCAATTAAGTTACTTCTCTCTAGTCCTGAATTGTATTACATATATTAGGAAACGTGATTGAAGCAAAAAAAAACCCTGGAAAACCCTAAAACAGAATTATCTTTTCTATGCAACAGATTCCAAGCATCATAGAATACTTCTGATGTAACCTACATCCAACTAATTTCTCTAGCATGTTGCTTAAAATTGCTTTTGTAAGATTAGTTATCTGAAACTTATTAAAGGATATTGCAGAGGTTGTCAGGAGGCTGCTGTTTCAGCAGTGCTCTGGTTTACTAGTTCTCAATCCTGGCTACACTGTGCATCATCTGGGGAACTTTAAAACTTCTAGTACCAGGACCCTGTTCCCTAGACATTAATAGGTCTGAGATGAAGCTAGGCACTGCTATTGTTTTAAAAGCTTCCCAGGATATTCTGAGGCTGGGGTTAAGGAAAATTGCTGGCTTATTATATTCTAGGGCAAGTAAATTTTATTTTTAAACTTTCTCTCTTTAAATTTTTCTCATCTAAGATTTTGTTACATGAAGTTCCCATTGAAGGACAGAAAAAAAAGAGAAAGAAAGTTTTGTTGGAAACTAAACTTCAAGGCAACAGTGAAATAACACAAGGCATATTGGATTATGTAGTAGAAACCACCAAACCAATTTCTCCTGCAAACCAGGGTATTAGAGGTAGGAAATTTTTCTTCTTCTTTTTTTAAATACAGTTTGCTTTAAATGCTTGTGGAGAAAGATATTTTTAAAAATATATTATGATCAGTTTCTTTTGGGTTGCCTGGCTGGCTCAGTCTTCAGAGTGTGTAACTTTTAATCTTGGAGTCATAGGTCAAGTCCCATTTTGGGTGTAAAGGTTACTTAAAAATAAAAACCTTAAAAAAAAAAAAAAAGATCAATTCCTTTTTATGTCCCTTTCCATTTAAAAAAACGTCAGGGGTGCCTGGGTGGCTCAGTTGGTTAAGCATCCACCTCTTGGTTTTCAGCTCACATCATGATCTCGGGGTTGTGCAGTGGAACCACCTCCGGCTCTGCACTTAGCGAGAAGTCTACTTGAGATTCTCTGCCTTTCCTCTCACCAACCAATGGATATTCGTGCTCTCTCTCTCAAATAAATAAAAAAATAAAAAAATTTTTAAAAAACTTGAAAAAGACGTAAAAAACTTTTTTTAAGGTGTAGGAAAGCCCTTCAAGAAATAACTTGACTATGGAGCATCTGGGTGGCTCAGTCAGTATGTGTCTTCCACTTAGGTCATGATCCAAGGTCCTGGGATCAAACCCCACCTTGGACTCCCTCTCCTCAGCTGGGAGCCTTCTTCTTTCTCTCCCTCTGTCCCTCCACCCTACCCTGCTCTTGCTCTCTCAAATAAATAAAATCTTAAAAAAAAAAAGGACTATAATTTTTTTTTACATTGAAAAATATTTAAATAAGCTGCAGTGTTAATGATTTGTTCAGTAGAGATAGGAAACCAAGGAGTGGCTTGAAAACTAAGAGAAAATACAAATAATTTTTGCTAGAAGTATAGTTCTCTAGTTAAGTATCTTTGTACTACTATTTTTACTTCTTCAGGACAGAGGAAACTAAAAACCTTGCTCCTTAACTAAGTGAAAATTAAAAGATTCATGGATTAGAGTCCTATAAATTGCCAGGTAGCAGAGGGTTCTTCCTATTTGGGCACAGGAAGAAAACCCTTTCTGAACTGAATTATTGAAATACTTACCTTTGAAAGGTTGAGGTCCCATTTAAAATATTAGATAGTATATAGCCTAGGAAACTTTAAAAATTAATGATAATTTTCTCAGGCTGTAGCCTCACAAGAAATACATAGCAGTTAAAAGTTAGAGAAATTATAAATTATGTTCAAGATTCAGGCATTATTATTAAGAAGCTAAAGCTATTTTCAGTCAAAAAGCTGTTGAAAACAGTTGATGAAATAAAGCAAACCTCTCTCTGCCTACTTTTTGGTTTTTTAATGCTTATTCAGTGTTTTTTCTGTTAATTTTTCTAGAGATTGTCTAATTCATCTGTTTCAGTAAAGAAACTGTTTTTGTTGCAGAGACAGGGCTGAGTCCAGTGATTCGACTTATTATTTTGAGTATTTGTTCCATAGAATAGCTGAACTGTAAGTCTCTGATTCATAATTTTGGAGGTCATTTACCGTATGTTACCCTTCCAATAGGTAACCTCCCCAATGGGGCTCTAAGCATTATAACTCAAGATTATAATAAGTTACTGCATAAATTTACAGGTCTTTGATACACATTCTGAGTTCCACAAAGAATCTCCATTCCCTCATGATCAGATTGACTTTTTAATAAAAAGATCTAGAAATTGATCTTAGCTAAAAAGGGGACTATCTTTGGGGGTGATCCAAGAATGTAAAAGGCTCTTTTTGGATGTCACAAATTTGTCAATCATTTCTACCTCAGTCTTAGACTTCTCTGATAAATTTTCATCTAGACTTGTTTTACTATTGATAAATTGTTACAATCAGAATATATCCTGAGATTAAATTCCTTTTTTTTAAAGATTTATTTTTATTTATTCATGATATACACGGAGGGAGAGAGGCAGAGGGAGAAGCAGGCCCCATGTTGGGAACCCGATGGGGGGACTCGATCCCGGAACTCTAGGATCGCGCCCTGGGCCAAAGGCAGGCGCTAAACTGCTGAGCCACCCAGGGATCCCCCTTGAGATTAAATTCCTGAGACATGTACCCAAATAACATATTTGAGCTAAGACAGAGGAATCATAATTTTTTGTGAATTAGCCAAATTCTACCACTTGATCCATTTCACCCTGAAGGGGGATTAAAATGGTATCAGTGTTAACAAAGATGTCCTCAAGCCCAGAGAAAGGGGTAGTACTCTTAGAAGATTTTCCTGAAGCCTTTAATAAGAGAAACTAAAATGGATAAGTTTAACTAGTTCTATTAATGAGGCATACCACATCCTAACTATCCTATTTATTGAGTTTTCCTAATGTATGAAATATTTTTATAGATTAATAGGATTCTTTATATAAGCATTGTGTGAAAAGCACAAATGAACAAATGACTTTATAACACAAATTTATGCCTTACCTTTTTGTGCAGTGCTGTCCAGTTTATAAAGCAATACCACACTATTTTTCTTAAAGCACTACTACATTTACTTATTAATGAAATTCTTAAATTCGTCCTGTGAGTTGGTATATGATCATTTTCACAACTGTGAATGGAAATGCACATATATGTTGTTACCTGCTAAAATCATATACCTGTTAGTGGAGGAGTTAGCACTAGAACCCTCATTTCCCAGCTTGTAGTCAGTGCTTTTATTTTTTCCCCACAACATATCTCATTACATTTATAATTTGCAAAGTAGGCAATTAAATAATGGATCAGAACTGAGTTTAGGGATGCAGCAAGGCAGGAAAGATTAAGTGGGACAAGACCTCAGTCTAGACGAAAGAAATTGCCTCTGAAATGAGATGTTATTCTGTATCTAACACTCATATTTTGTACAAATGTCCATTTTGTAAAGTAATTGGGGGCTATAACAATAATGGGCCATAATAATCACAAATATTGACTCCATTATTTCGTGGATAAATGAAGCTGCTTGAACTCATACTATCTACCTGTCCATAGAAGACATCCAGCCAGGCTTTCCTACTTGGGTCAGGAACAAGGCTCTAGATTTTGAGTAGGAAGATAAGAAGGGTTGACAAAAATCATGACAAAGGTGTCTAGATGAGAGGTTTTAAAGTGCAGGACTTGTAGGTTTTTATTTGTAGCCCCCTTGCGGCCAAATCAGGAAAAACAGACTAAGAATGGAGGTTACAATTCACAACAGTAGTTATAGCCCAGATTTTAATAAAAACTGAAATTGAGGATGGAGGTTGAATGTTAAATGAAGAGCTACTAAACTTTAAGACTTTGCAACTTATAGGGCATCTCGGTGGCTCAGTCAGTTGAGCATCCAGCTCTTATGATCTCAGGATTGTGGGATTGAGTCCTGAGTCAGGCTCCATGCTCAGAGCAAAGTCTGCTTGTCCCTCTCCCTCTGCTCCTCCCCCTGTTCTCTCTCTCTCAAAAATAAATGAAATAATGGGCTGCCTGTGTGGCTCAGTTGGTTAAGTGCCTGCCTTCAGCTCAGGTCATGATCCCAGGGTCCTGCTCAGTGGGGGTCTGCCTCTCCCTCTGCCCCTTCCCCCCACCCCCTGCTTGTGTGCTCTCTCTCAAAAAAAAAAAAATTTACAAATAAATCTTTTTTTAAAACAAGATTTTACAACTTGCAGATACCACCCTCCTTAGCCACCGGAGACTATAGTAATATTCTTACCATCTACGTCCCAGCTAAGTGAGGAAATATATGTCCCTTGACTCCGCAGGATGTCTTGCTGTTCAGCTGCTCTCTCAATAATCTTTAGCTGGACAGTTTTCCTTGCTGTGCAAAGAAAGCTGCTCTTATAGTGAGTCAAGACCCAGACCATAAATCTACTGGTTCATTGTCCGCAGAGTGATTTGCATTATTATCAGAATGAACAGTTTTTACTAGGGTGTATAATAAAATTGGTATTTATATATTTTAACTCCTCTTAATGCTGCCTTTAAAATTTTTTTTTAGTTCTCAAAAACAAAAATGAAAAAAGGACAAACTAAAAAACAGTCTCTTAACTACAGAGAACAAACCAGTGGTTACCAGAGGGAAGGTGGGTGGGGGCATGAATGAAATAGGTGTAGGGGATTAAGAGGATACTTATCTTGCTGAGCACTGAGTAATATATGGAATTGTTGAATTGCTATATTGTGAACTTGAAACTAATACAATGCTATATGTTAATTGCACTGGAATTAAAATAAATTTTTTTCTAATTCTTGAGATAATTTTTAAAATTTAAAAGTCCATTTTTTTATCTTTACTGATTTTTAAAAATGGTTAGGAAAACGAGTGGTACTAATGAAGAAATTTCCTCTGGATGGGGAGAAGATGGGCAGAGAAGCAGCCTTATTTATTGTTCCATCAGTTGTCAAAGGTAAAAGTCTAAGTTTTATCCTATGAATCTTTTTTTTTTTTTAAATTTTTATTTATTTTATGATAGTCACACAGAGAGAGAGAGAAAGAGGCAGATACATAGGCAGAGGGAGAAGCAGGCTCCATGCACCGGGAGCCCGACGTGGGATTCGATCCGGGGTCTCCAGAATCGCGCCCTGGGCCAAAGGCAGGCGCCAAACCGCTGCGCCACCCAGGGATCCCTATCCTATGAAACTTTATATACTTTAGATGCTAAGTTAAAGTCTACTGAGGAATTTAGTAATTAGCATTTATAGTTACTACTATAATACTGTTTTAAAATACCCATTTTTTAGTAGTTACAATGAGGAAATCTATTACTTAAAAAAAGATATTTTGATTGTAAAGTAATATTCAGCCTTTTGGACTAAACAGTAATGTTTTTGTTTCTGGGTTTGAGAGTAAATAAAGAAGTGAGGAGGAAAGCCATAATTGAAATTAAAAATTTTCAGATTATAAAAAAAAAAAATTTCAGATTATAAAAGGGATTTTTCAAAGGATACGATTAGAAATAGATATTTCAGTATTTTGGAACATTAACAGACTATGATCAGGACCTATTTAGTATTTGGCACTAGAAGGTGTTAATAGTTCTAAAATACTCTGCCTAACAGCTTTGGTAGTATACAAAGAATTTATATCTGAGGTAAAAATTGAATTTGAGCCTTTGACATCCTGGAGTAATTGAAAAATACTAAATTTCAGTGCAGACCTTGCAGCCTACAAATTTTGTACCTTTGGGCAAATCACCTCTTTAAGCTCCAGCTCTATTTGTATCTGCTCCTACTAAGTTCATTGTGCTGGAAGAATTCAGTGAGGTATTGGATGTGAAAAACACTTTGGGGCAGCCCTGGTGGCTCAGCGGTTTAGTGCTGCCTTCAGCCTAGGGCATGATCCTGGAGACCTGGGATCAAGTCCCATGTCAGGCTCCCTGCATGGAGCCTGTTTCTCCCTCTGCCTGTGTCTCTGCCTCTCTCTCTCTGTCTCTCATGAATGAATAAATAAAATTTATTTAAAAAAAAAAACAAACACTTTGGAAACTTTAGTGTACTAGCCTCCTTTAGGGAAGTAATAATACTGATGATAAATTAATGACCCAGTGTGGATATGCCATTAGCTTGCTGCTCACACAGTACTTCTATGTATTTCATTAGCCAGCTCTAGTATTCTACATATATTTTTTTCCAGCCATACTTACACTAAAAAGTACAGTATTTTAAATGTTGTTGGAAACCTGATTAATCAGAGTTTTATAACATTGTTGAGGAAGGGAAAGGGGAAATAATTTCTGCCTTCCTTCAAGAATATAGGTCTTCTAATTCCAAATGGATAAGGGCACAGAACTGGTCATCAATTTAATCAAGGTCTTCTACATCCAAATCTAAAACAATTCATGTTACACTTAACTACTTTGTAAAATATACTATATAATTTTAAGTGAAAAACATGCAATTGTAAACCTTTTATATAATGGCATTATTCATTTTCTTTTTCAGATAATACTAAATATACATATACTCCAGGATGCCCAATTTTTTACTGCTTACAAGATATTATGCGAGTCTGTAGTGAATCCAGCACTCACTTTGCTACACTTACAGCAAGGATGTTAATAGCCTTGGATAAGTAAGAAATGCCACTAAAAATATTTTTTTAATAAATCAAATACAGGTTCATAGTAGAAATTAGCTCCGAAAGAACAGAAGAAAATAATAAAATTAATATGTATATGCTACACAGTGTTAAGTTTTTGAAGTACAATATGAAAATGAAAAGTCCCAAAGACAAGATTGTCCTGGTTTGCTTGCAAAGCTCTTTTTTTTTTTTTTTTTCAAAAATGACAAAGACTGCCCTGGATTAAAAATTAAGATTCCTTGTTATAAAACTACATTTAGTATTTTGTTTTTGTTTTTGTTTTTGTTTTTTTTTTCAAATTGCATTACAACTGCCTTTATTTTCCCTACTACTTTGTACTAGTTCCCTTATTTCCATACTTTATTTACTGCGGTAATTCAGTAGAACTAATTATGTCTTTAAAAATAGTTAAATAAGTGAGTGATTAAGTTCTCTTTCTGTTTTCCCCAATGCTGGGTCAAATGGCTTAAGTTGTTCTGATAGATTTAGTATTGAGTTACTCTTAGCAGTGAACAAATTGTTTAATCCATCATATCTTTGTCCTTCTATAACTACAGAGCTAATGTCACCTCCATCTCAGTGGTTCAAATTTTAAAAGTACTTCATGGTACTTTAGAAGGGGGGTTATTGTTATTATGGTATATACATTTTTGAAAATAATTTGCTGTCTATTAACAAAACTTCTATTAATAGTAAATGAAGTACTTAACGAACACTAGTTAAAAAATTAAAAATCTGAATGTAATATTAGAATGTATCACATATCAGAGTTGGATACTCTACTTTTTTCATCTTCATTTTTGAACTAATACTTCTGTGACCTCTTCTTTCTACTTTGCCAGGTGGTTAGATGAACGTCATGCACAATCTCACTTTATTCCAGCTTTATTCCGACCTTCTCCTCTTGAGCGGATAAAAACTAATGTCATAAACCCTGCATATGCTACTGAATCAGGTCAGACAGAGAACTCACTACATATGGGCTACAGTGCACTAGAAATAAAGAGTAAAATGTTAGCCCTAGAGAAAGCAGATACTTGTATTTACAACCCTTTGTTTGGATCAGATCTTCAATATACAAACCGGGTAAGAGTTGAATGAATTTTGGCTCTGATTTCAAAAGACATCTTATCTCCAATATAATTTTTTTCTAAAATAAACGTACCCATTACTAATTATAAACATTAAGATGACATCTACAGTAGTTGTATTTATATCTATTAACGTCAAGAGTCTAACGCTCTTAAGGGGTTCTTGTTTTTTCTATTTTTCCTTTTTAGGTAGATAAAGTGGTAATAAATCCATACTTTGGTCTCGGAGCTCCAGACTACTCAAAAATCCAAATTCCCAAACAGGAGAAATGGCAGAGAAGCATGAGCAGTGTCACAGAAGACAAGTACTGTTTTGGTTTTACTTCACATTGCTTTTTTAAAACTTGCATTATAATGTTAAAATATTGTTTAAAATGATAATATACAACTAGTATGCAATGTAATCATTGCATAAAAGATTTAGTTTGCAGCTGCTAAGTGATATATGGCTTTCATAGACATGTTTGTTTTGAAACAATTTGTATTTCAACAGTACTTTTTTTAAAAAAAATGTATCTGTTTTTAATGATTAGGGAACGACAGTGGGTAGATGACTTTCCTCTCCATCGAAGTGCCTGTGAAGGAGATTCAGAATTACTAAACCGTCTTCTCAATGAAAGATTTTCAGTCAACCAATTAGATAGTGACCACTGGGCGCCTATTCATTATGCATGCTGGTAAATGGATTACTTTTTTTTCTTAGAAGGAATGAATTCTTAGTTACAAATGTTAGTGCCTCTTTTCAGAGCTATCGTCATTCCAGCCACTTTTTCTCTACCACATTTTGCCTTATGAACTTTCTATATAAATCTTTGATTAGTGTATATATGTACTAATGTTCAGAATATATGCCCCATGGGAAAGGTATCATTGGTATTTTAGACATTACTAGGTCATCCTGTGTCATTATACAGTGTCATTATACAGCACTAGGTCCCTTATTTACCCTTGTAATTTCTGTTGTTCTGTATTGGAGTCATGTTAAGTTTGTTTAACCCTTACTATAAAATTTACATGAGGTAACTACTTATGATGGACATTAATCATGTTAGAAAAGTATCCATTTAGTTCTTTGGGAAGCTGTGGCATCAAAAAACTCCCAGAATCCTTCATTAAATCATGCCATTTCTTTGTTATTACTGTTTTTTTAAGATGAGAGGGATTGGCTCATAAATAAGATTGGGGTTAGCTGTTGCCCTAGTGAGTTGCCCTAGTAGCTTTTGCTCTCCTACTCTTCCCACATTATAGCAACTCTTCCCCTCAGCTAAGTTCTTACACTTTTGTTCAAAGCAGTTATTATTAGCTATGGTTTATCCTTTGGAAAGGATGTAGTGAAGTTATTTACCATTATTTCTTATGGGAAAATTGCTTTTGACTTATTGTTTAAAGTGAATTTCCTTGGCTAGTTTAAGAAGTGCCAATATCATTCCCTGCTTGTTAAATGTCCTCTACTTCTTAGTTGAGCAACATTTAGCAAGATACTTCACTTTTATGTATCTCAGTTTATTTATTCATATGTAGAGGCATTACTTAGATCATTGCTAGAGTTCTTTCCAGCTCAAAATTCTTTTGATTTCACTGATTCCAAAATTTGTGATCCTGTAGCTAAATATAGTTGCTTTTAATACACCTCTTCTCCCTTAAAAATATGCTGTTTCCTTAAAAATAGGCTCCTTCATTCTGTAAATGTGTTCTTGTTTTCCCATTACATGAAATTTTCTACTCATATTTGGAGTTACCCTAAATCTTTTTAAACTGAATTTATAGCTGTTTCTTCAGATTACTAGTAAATATTGGTAGCAACAGGAGTACTGAAAGAAATCACATACCTTACCTGTAGCTAAACAAAAAGTACACCGTGAATTGGGAAAGACAGAGGCAGAGAATTTTAGTTTAGGAATCCCAAATTTGTATTTGATTAATATTGTCCTTTTTTTTGTGCCATGGGTTTTCTTTTCTAATAAAATAATGGTAATATTTATTTTTTTAAGAATGGTAGTATTTTTAAGTACATAGTACATAAAAACAGAAGTATAGATAATAGTACATAAAAACAGAAGTATAGATAATATTTAATGTTCTTTTAAATGTACTCAGTTTTCAGTCCTAATAACTTCTATTTCCTAAAAGTATGACCTTTGGCAAGTTACCTAATATCCCTAAGAACCTGTGTTTTATCTACAAGATGGACTTTTAATAGTAGTACATTTCTTAAAATTAAAGGAGAAAATGCAAATAAATGCTTTGAGGGTACCTAGCACATAATAAGCACTCAATAAATGTTGGCTGTTATTATTAAAATACTGTAAAAATTTAAAGATTTTGATGTCTAAATCTGAACTTAATTAGTCCATAGTATTTTTTTTAATTTTATTTATTTGAGAGAGAGATATATAGCAAGAAAGAACAGCAGGACAGAGAGGCAGAGAGAAAAGCAGGCTTCCAGCTTAGTAGGAAGCCTGACTTGGGGCTTGATCCCAGAACCCCGAGATCATGACCTGAGCCAAAGGCAGATGGATGCTTAACCAACTGAACCACCCAGGTACCCCAATCCATAGTATTTTTAATTGGAAAATCTTATTACTACAGTATACCAAGGAAAAGAGTTTTTTTGACAATATTAATTTTGTCAGTTGGAAATAACTAAGTTTAATGTACCAGAGTAATACGGGTCACCTTGCAAATACTTTTAATCAGATGGATCATTTGATTAATGTGAATTTGAATGAAGACTGATTTAACCATTTAATAAGTTACTTTTTCTTGGAAATGTATTTTTATTCACTAATTGGTATAAGGATCAAGGAGGGGAATATTAGGCCATCTTATTAAGAGATTTGGAAACTATAAACTTAAACAAGATGTTTTACCCCTCTTGGTCTGTTTTCTTACCTTTAAAGTGAGAGTTTTTATTAGGTTGGTGGTTCTCAGACTTTTTGGTATCAGGACTGCCTTTTCACTCTTAAAAGTTACAGGATCCCAAAGAATTTTATGCAAATTATACCTAATATCATTTAGCATATTAGAAGTTATACCCCCAAAATATTTTAAGTATTAATTCACTTAAAGAAATAAACATATTAATATAAATAACAATCTTATGAAAAATACCATATTTTTCAAAATAAAAATTAATGAGAATAGCATTATTTTACATTCTTGCAGATCTCTTTATTTTCTAGATTAATAGAAAATAGCTGAGAAAATAGAAAAACTCTCATATCTGATTCTGTCTTTAATTTGTTGCAATATCATATATCACGTGGCTTCTAGAAAATCCCACACTGTACACTTACAGTCAAACAAATTAAAGGATAAGTAACATCTCAATATTATTATGAAAATATGTTTGATCTAGAGTAAACCCTGAAAAGATTTCAGGGATTCTCAAGGCTTCCCAGATCACTCTTTGAGGACTACTCCTAAGATTTCTCCAAGATTTAAAGATTCTACAAGATTTAAATCTTCTCCAAGATTTAAAATTCTCATATTGGTGGCCACATACCTGAAAACTCTTCTTAACTAAAATCACCATCTTTCAAAACTATTTAAGTTGGCTTTCTCCCCATGTGGGTAACTTATCAGCCACTCAGTAAATGTTTCACTGACATCACATAATCTCTGACCTTTCTCAAATCAGTATCTTCTCTCTCTGATCCTACTTTTAGGCTTCACATTATTGCTAGAGAATGTTTTAGCTGTGATGATTTGACTCCCTTTAGATTGTACCATCTTCACTGTAGCTTAGCTGTCTATCCTCTTTGTCTCATTCATCCTGTCAGCCTTTTTTAGTTCTCCCCTATGAGCTGTTCGGAACCTTTCTATTCTTAAGCACTTAAACTCCCACTACTTCCTTTCTCTACTCTCATCAGATAAGTTTTATCCCCTATTTTCAAAGAAAATTGAAGCTATTGGAAATGTCCTTCTTCTCTGTCATTTTTATTCTCATCTCCTGTATCATGGGGTATACAAGTAAAAACCCTTATTTACCATAAATTCCCTCTCTGTACTTTCTTTTCTCTTCCTCTTGAACATTAATTTACTCTGCTGCCTTTTCTGGCCACTATCCTGTTTCTTTCCTTCCTTTCACAGCCCAACTTTAAAGGTGAGTGGGCCACACTCACTGTTGTCTCTTTTTCACTCTTCATGAACCTTCTTAAACTTTTCTGAGTTTTTAATCTCTTTACCCGCTCTACAGCATTAATACTGTTGACCACCCCTTCATTCTAAGAACAAATTGGAGTTAAAGGGGCATAATGGAGCTGTAATGAAGGTCAGTATGAATGCAAGATGTTATTGTTACCTTATCATTATTATTGAAATACTGGCTTCCATTCTGTGACCTAAGCATATGTTATAGTATGGAAACTGCTATATTAAGATTCAGAAACCTGGATTCTAACACTGGTTAGTAACTATGGGATCTTCAGCAACTTACCTTGTTCAAGCTTCATTTTTCTTAACTATGTAATAAAAATACTTCTGCATGCCTTACAGGTTGTTATTATATGAAATAATTATATAAGAAATTACCTTGAAGCATACAGAATGTACATTTGTATTATTTTTTTATTACTTTCTTGAACTGCTAGAAGTATCTTTTCCTATCCTGAAAGATTGTTCAAGATGCATTTCATTGTTCTAAGATACTCATTTTTCTCTAAATTCTCTTAGCTTTAACAGTAATTCTTTTCAGGTAGATGAATTTGCTATATTCTCAGATATCCCAAGCCTTTGCCTTCCTCCTGATTACCAAGCCTGCATTTTCAAATGCCTGCTGAACAGTTTTTACTCTCTTATTGTCTATAAGGCAGATTAGCAAATGCAGAGACAGTGTACCTACCCTCAAGGAGTTTCCAGGGCATTAGAGAAGAGATATATATAAGGGTGAAAGTAGATAAAATAAGTCCCATAAAAGAAGCGAAAATAAAATGCTACCTGTAGTGGAACTATAGAAGAGGTAGATTTTATTTTATTTTAATTTTTTAAGAGGTAGATTTTAAACTGTTTCAGAGAAATAATAGAATTTAACCTAAACAAAATGAGGTGTGGGGAAAAGGACATCTCAGAAATAGCAAAGAACGTGAGCAAGAAGTCATATGAATAAAAAAGGGTAGCCTACTAGTGGCAGGTTCAGGGTATCAGAAGGGTGTGTAGAGGAGAAGAAAGGAAAGTTGAGGGCAAATTAGATCTTCTAAAGATGTGTTATTTTGCCCTCAAATATACCATATCTGAAAGCAAATTTCCTTTCCCCTCTCCCACCCATTTGTTTATAAACAATGAATTCTTTTTCCACCATAAGATTGCAGTTTGCGGACTCTTATGTCACTGGTTCTGACCAAACAGTGCACTTAACTCTGTCCAACACATGAGTACTCTTTTGGCTCCTTTGGTACTCCTTTTCCCTCTACCTAAAATATTTTTACCTCTTTTCAACATCTCTCTGGTTCCTTCCTACTTAAAATCTAGTTCAAATTGTTCTATCAAAACATTTCAGGGAGTCTTAAAGTCCTGTCTTTTTTGACATTTTTTAAAAAGCATTAGTAATTTGACAAATATATAGTGCCTATGTATTTATTGTTATCCTAAACTGTTACTTAAATTTTACAGCATAATGTAACTTATCCTGTGTTTTACCTTTCTTACTACATTGTAAGCCTTTATTATAGCAGAGACCATGTATCTTCTACATCTTTGTGTCTCCCAACACTGACTTACATAGCAGCTACATATTGAATTCTATCTTTGGGCCTGTTTTGCAGATCACATCACGCCAAAGTGAAAAGCATTATGAAGTTTCTGATTCTGAACCTATTTTTGACTAAAAATTTTATCTTCCTAATTTATAATTTTTGTACTTTGCGTGGGATTGTTCTTTGTCATTTGCTCTGTCTTATAGTTGAGATTATATTTTCTCTCAGTTGATCAAAAACAGAAACAGTTAAATTGAACCCGAAGAATTCATAAGAAATTCCTAGGCACTGAAAATATTTGTATCAATGCCTTACTTAAAAAAAAAAAAAAAAAAAAAAAAGTCTTAGATTTCTTTGGGATGTCATCAAAAATTTGAATTTTTAAAACATTTCAGATGACTTTTTTGGGTAAGTTTCATTTTTTTTTTTTTTAATAGGTATGGAAAAGTTGAGGCCACTCGCATTTTGTTAGAGAAAGGAAAGTGCAATCCAAACCTTTTAAATGGACAGCTTAGTTCTCCTCTGCATTTTGCTGCTGGAGGAGGACATGCTGAAATAGTACAGATTCTCCTAAACCATCCAGAAATTGACAGAGTAAGTTATTTTCCAGGGTTGTTTTCTTTTTTTTAATGTTCAAGCAATAAATAACAAGTAATGGCACTAAAATGTTCAATTGTATACTTGAGAAGTCAAACTAAAAAATAAGTTTTACCTTCTACATAGTTAAGTAATATTTGTATAAACTTTGCTTTTGTGCTTGTTTTTATTATGATAAAATATACCTCACATAAAATTTGCCATTTTAACTATTTCTAGATGTACAGTTCAAAGACATTAATTGCATTCACATTGTTGTGTAATCATCACCATCATCCATCTCTTGCATATACATAAATTTAACCTTTTTGTGTTGTATTGCCCCAAAAAATATCTTTACAAAGGAAAAAGATTTTCTACCCATTTTTTCCAGAATTGGTATTAATAAGTATTTGTAAAGGGCAAAATAATTGCTTTAATCAAAACCTTTATTGGATTTTATGATCAGAACTTTAAAAAAAAAACAGTAATCACATTGATTGGTGCTTTGAGTCTTTCATCCTTACCAATTTATGTTTAAGTATAGTAAATGCTAAGAGTGGTTAATATTTAATACTTGACAAAAATCCATTTTTTATGAAACTTTGACATTTTTACTTACAATACCATATATTTGTAATGACTTTTTTCTTTGTATTTTTCTTTTTTCCAACATTTCTAGCACATAACAGACCAACAGGGAAGATCCCCTCTAAATATTTGTGAAGAAAACAAACAAAATAACTGGGAAGAAGCTGCAAAGCTGTTGAAGGAAGCCATTAACAAACCAGTAAGAATTACCTTCAGAAACCAAGCCAAGCCAACTACTTAAATTGATAAGTAATTTGAGTATCTGTGGCAAGAGGAATGGATGGATGATTTCTTTACTGCTTTTAGAAAACCTCATGTTCATTCTAACATTCAGACCTTTATTCTTGCAAAACAAATATTGCATAATCAATCTTTAAAACACTTCAAGTTAACTTAATTTCTAGTATAATCTAGTATAATCTCAGTACTTAATACTGTCTGAAATAATCAGCAGTAACATTAAGATAGAGAAGAATTAACAATTAGAAAGACTCCAGTTTGCCTAAAAGTTATAGTGAGAATAAAACTGTCATCAATTTAAAAACTGTGTGAAAATTTACAAACCAGATAAAAGGATTTATAACCAGTCAGATAAACTATTAAAACTTGATATCAACAGATATAATCTCTGAGCCTTTCCAGACATTTCCATCAGGTAGGTAATAAGTATTTATGGAGTATCTCTGTGAATTTAACACCTTGAGTGAAAGTGACAAGTGATAAAGAATAATATATGAACTCTGCCTTTAAGGAATATGAACACATTCACCATCACTCAACAGATTTTGTCAAATACTATTCCATGAGCACAAGACAAAGTCAAAGGAATAGATAAACAGTACAGGCACCCTTATATTATACTTCATTACAATTTATTTTCTAATTGTAAAGAACACATTATTATTCCTAGTATAATTTTTATATTCTAAATGAATAAGATAAGAGGAATTAGTTACTTTTATCCAAAATGAACTGACCTGGTAGTTGCCTGGGGGCTTCTCATAGAAAAAATGTATTGAGAATATAGTGAGTTCCTTCCAATAACAATAAAAATGTATTGAGAATATTGAGAAACCATAATGAGATGTGGTTTCTCAATATATTGAGAATACATTTTTATTGTTAATACAATATATTGAGATACATACTTCTCAATATATTGAGAATACATTCACACCAGACAGAATGGCTGGTTTCAAAAAGATAAGAAATAACAAGTGCTGGAGTAAATGGAACCCTTGTATACGATTGGTGGAAATGTAAATTGGTGCAACCACTATGGAGGTTTCCCCCAAAATTAAAAGTAGAGATACCATACAATCCAGTAATTTTAGTACTGGGTATTTACAAAGAAAATGAAAGCACTAATTTGAAAAGATACATGTAATTGCTTCTCAGCCTTTTGGCTAAGATCAAGTGTGAAAAAGATACATGTATTTCTATGTTTATGGCAACATTATTTATAGTAGCCAAGATACGAAGACAACCTAAGTGTACATCAGCAGATCAATGGATAAAGAAGTGGTATTCATATATACAATGGAATATTACTCAAGCATAAAAAAGAATGAAATCTTGTCATTTGCAACAACAGGATGGAATAAGTCAGACAGAAAGACAAATGCCATATGATTTCACTTATATGTGGAAGCTAAAAACCAAACAAAAAAACAGACTCCTGAATACAGAGAACAAAGTAGTGTTTGCTAGAGGGGATGTGGGTGAGGGCTGGACAAAATAGGTGACAGGGATTTTTTTTTTAATGTATTGAGAATATTAGTACTCTGACATTTTCTGAACAGGAGGAAAGCAACTGGCTCAAGGTCCATTGTTCCATAACCGTCTTCCATCACAGCTTCCTCTTAGGAATATTGCTAGTATGCATTTGTAGAGTATAATTTGTGGCCCACTAGACTTGCAAGATACTTGACTAACATCAGATTCAATAACCAAGACTCTGTCTCCCATATGATACCTACTAGGTACATCAATAGCTTTAAAACATCTCCCAGAAGAATCTGAAGTTGGATATATTTTAAGAGCCATTTGCCTTAGCTTCTCAAACTTATTTGACTATGAAACATTCAGAGGAAAACATATTGGAAAATATAAATAGTGGAAATAAAAATTTTTTAAGCTGTGCCAACAGATACTTGAAGCAGTTTTCTGTTATTTTTCATATTTGAAATCTATTATAAAACATATGAAATTGAAATTGAAGCATTTTGTGAGGCTGGTATATACAACTTTATCTAACTAGGTTGCATAATTTATTATCATTCTTTGTCCTAGTATGAAAAAGTTCGAATATACAGAATGGATGGATCATATCGTTCTGTTGAACTGAAGCATGGAAATAATACCACAGTGCAGCAGATAATGGAAGGAATGCGTCTCTCTCAAGAAACACAGCAATATTTCACTATTTGGATCTGTTCAGAAAACCTCAGTAAGAAAGTTGTTACTCTGTTGTGTAAACATCTATTCCTTTTTGAGAGTGGATTGGTAAATTTAAGTATAGCATCAGTTTCTTACTGACTTTCAAATTTTGAAATGATACAATGATCCTCTTTTTTATATAAATTACTGGTGTTTCAACTGCTGAAACAGGTAAGCTTCTGGGACTCCTTATCCCCCACTTCATTCAAAGCATTTTAAAACTTTTCTTCTCTGGCAATGGAAATTGATATTGAATGCCATTAAATGTAGTGCTCATCCAACTTGCCTTTATTGTCAGTGCTCATTTCACCTGAAATAATGCAAATGTTTTTTCTTTATATTAGTTTTCCATCAAATCTTTTTATTTAAAATCAACCTGATGCCACTATAGATTTATCTTTCAACCAAAGTATTGCAAATACATAAAGGAATTAATTGAGGTTACACAATTGGTTATTTAATGTTTAATTATATTTTAAAACACTAGATTCTATTGATTATAAAATAAAGTCTATAATGGAATTAAAGATCTTATATACATTTGATATGTTTTCCTTGTTTTAGGAATTCTTAAAATTCTTATATTCTCTTAACCTAAAATTGGGTAGTGATATTATTAGTTATAAAGTCAGGGTTGATTTAAATTTAGACATTTAATTTGTTTGTATATTAGCACTAAAGTAGAGACCGTTTAATATAAATTTCTGTGTGTTGATATAATTTATTTTTACATTATTATTTATAAAAGGAAAGATGTTTTTCAGGCCTTCAGCTCAAGCCTTATCATAAACCCCTGCAACATGTTCGTGACTGGCCAGAAATACTTGCTGAATTGACTAATTTGGATCCCCAAAGGGAAACACCACAGCTTTTCCTACGAAGAGATGTGAGACTTCCTTTGGAAGTTGAAAAAAAGGTTTGCTTGGAGATCTTATTTATAGTCATGTAAATGCACAGAATCTTGAGTTCCTGTGGTAGGCATTAGAAACAAATTTTGCTCTTCCTGTATGAGGAAGTTTTACTTCTGTTTCTCTATTTAATCCTCACATCCCTGGGGTAAGTGGTAGCTTGAGTTAGTCTACTTACAAAGCCCCTAGTTGGTTTTTTTATTTCCACCTCCATTGTCTTAGAAACAAAAGAAATAGAGAATCTATCCTAAAGAGAATTAGCAACCATATGAGAGACAGATTATACAAAAAAAAAAAAAAAAAAAAAAAAAAAAATTTTTTTAGAACAGTTTGAAAGTACTACACTATCAAAGATAAATTTAATAAAGGGCTAACAACCAGTGTGTAAATATCAAAGGAGCAAAGAGCTAGGTTGGTGTGGGAGGAGAACAGAAAATACATTCTGAGCAGAGAAGATTATATTTGCAAAGAGAACATAAAAAGCTATTCTTGGGGCACCTGAGTGGTTCAGTCTGTTAAGTTTCTGCCTTTGGCTCAGGTCATGATCCCAGGGTTCCACATCAGTTCCCTGCTCAGAAGGTGTCTACTTCTCCCTCTGCCTCTCTTCCTCCCTGCCCCCTCTCAAGTAAATAAAATGTTGTTAAAAAAAGCTATCTTAGTTTGTTAGTAGCTATTTCCAAATCAAGTGGAGAATTACAGAGAGTAACAAATGAGAATACAGTTTACATTTGATAAAAAGATTTGTTCCAGACAAGTGCATTTGGATTTGAATTACTGTAAATTTTATAGGAGAGGTGGGATAATGCTGTGTGAAGGATGAATCGATAAACAAAGAAATTTAAGGTAGATATTACAAATTAAACTAGGGTGAGAATCTATAAACATAGTAATAGCTTTAAAATTGAAAAAAAAAAAAGTTCCAAGGTCTTATAACTTTGATGAAGAAAAAATATACAATGCATTTCCTGATTCGTATCCAAGGGAATATTAAATAGACAAGGTTAAGCAAATTTTAGTATACAAAAATTTCGTTGACTGTGTACAAACTTGGTAAATGTTTTATACATGATCACTCATATCATCCCTTTTATATTATCACACCAAAGATAGATTTGATCCTTTCAGTGACATATACCAGGAGTTACATAAAAATCTCTATGAAATTTACCAAAAACAGGACACCTGTGTGGCTCAGCGGTTGAGCGTCTGTTTTTATTTGAGGAGGTGATCCTGGGGTGCAGGATTGAGTCCCACCAATATCAGGCTCCTAGCAGGAAGGCTGCTTCTCCTTCTGCCTCTCTGTGTGTCTCTTATGAATAAATAAGTAAAATCTTAAAAAAAAAAAAATTTACCAAAAACAAAGATCTAGAGTATTCATTTAAAAATGTTAGAATTTCATAAATAGAGGAAGGGGCACCTGGGTGGTTCAATCAGTGAAGTGGCTGCCTTCAGCTCAGATCATGATCTTGGGGTCCTGGGATCAAGCCCCATGTCAAGCTCCCTGCTCAGTGGAGAGTCTGCTTCTCCCTCTGTCCTTCCCCCCAACTTATGCTCACTCACTCTTTCTTTCTCAAAAAAATAAATAAAATCTTAAAAAAAAAAAAAAGAACAGAGGAAAAAAACACAATTGATCATCTCAGTTGACACAAAAAAGACATTTGACAATATCCAATACCCCTTCATGATAAAACTCTTACAATTAGGAATAGATGGAAACTTCCTCAATATTAGTGGCAGTTATGAAAAACTCACAGCTAACATCATACTTGATGAAATGCTGAGAGCTTTCCTCCTGAGATCAGGAACCAGATAAGCCAGCTTTCAGCACTGCTATTTAACATAATACTAGAAGTTCTAACCAGAGTGATTGGATTTAAAAAAAAAAAAAAAAAAAAAAGGAAAGGAAAAATGGGGCACCTGGGTGGCTCAGTCAATTAAGTGTCTGCCTTCTGCTCAGGTCATGATCCCAGAAGCCTGGGATCGAACCCTGCATCTGCTCCCTGCTCAGCAGAGAGTCTACTTCTCTCTGTTTCCCTCTGCTTCTCCCCCTGCTTGTGCTCTCTCTTTCTTTCTCAAATCAGTATATATAAAATCTTTAAAAAGAAATGAAAATAAAATCAAAAAGAAAGAAAAGGCATCCATATTAAAGAGGAAAAAGTAAAACTATTTGCAAATGACATGATCCTACATATAGGAAATCTCAATCCACAAGAAAGCTATTGGAGCTAATAAGTAGATTCAGGAATGTTGCAAGGTACAGACTTAACATACAAAAATCAGTTGTTTGTTGTCTACACACATCAGTGAACAACCCAAAACACAAAATAAGAAAGTCATCAAGATAGTATCTTAAAGAATAAAATACTCAGGAGTAAATTTAATAAGAGACATGCAAGACTTGTACACTCAACTATGAAACATTACTGAAAGAAATTAAAGGAGATCTAAGTAACTGGAGAGACATTGTATTTAGGATAAAAGATGTAATATCATTAAGATGTCCATGCTATATATAAAATGGAATATTATTCAGCCATAAAAAGGAATTAAGTTGTTACATGCCATAATATGGATAAGCTTTGAAAACATTATGCTAAGTGAAATAAGCCAAACCAGATATAGGAGGATGAGTATTGTATGATTCTACTTATATTAAATATCTAGAATAGGGAAATTCACAAAGAGAAAGTAGATTAGTAGTTGTCAACACAGGTGTTGGGGATAGAGAATGAGTTATTGCTAAGGTTAACAGTTTCTCTTTGGGAGATGAAAAAGTTATGTAGTGCTGATGCTTGCACAACGCTGTAAATGTAATTAATGCCACAGAATTATATGCTTAAAACTGGTTAAAATATTAACTTTTTGTTTTATGTATTGTAGCACAGTTTAAAAAAATGTATCCATAAAATTTGTAGGTAATTTAAGTATACTTAGTCTATCTTCTTTCTCCACCTCAGTACCATTTTAAAAGTTGATTGGTAGAGAAAAAGAGCAATAATGATAAAACTTGGATGATTAATTACATAATTATATTACAAAGAATATATAAAGAATATAAAGTAAACTCAAGTGAAAAACAAGCAAGGCTTAGTAAGTACCTCAAGGTAAATCAGAATATCATGATCATCTGATATAATAGTTGTGTTCTTTCATTATGTTATTAAGAAATTCCATTTTGTACCATCTGAAAAATGTAAGAATTACATTTATTGGTTGCATCATTCCTATAGGATGAAAATGGCCTGATTTCATTAGAAAAGAATAGTTGTTGACTATGCTCATTTATAACAATTACCTACTCAAACTCCAAATTCACTGTTGATTTTGAGAAATTAAAAACCCTAGAAAGTTGAAAAAGTAATAAAATTAATTAAATTCACTAATTGCTAGTATTTTGCCCTATTACCGTCATCTTCTCTATTTTTTCTTTATGAACCATTTAAAAGTGAGTTGCAGACATTTTGGCACTGAACCCTACATATTTTAACATAAGAAAAAGGACATACCAACATACTATACCATTTCAATCTAATAAAATTAATATTTTTTATAATAATATGTGATTGTAATAATATGTGATTCATATTCAGATTTCCCCCCAATTGTTTAAAAGTCTTATATAGTGGGATGCCTGGGTGGCTCAGCGGTTAAGCACCTGTCCTGGGCCCAGGGCGTGATCCCAGGGTCCTGGGATCAAGTCCCACATCAGGCTTCCTGCATGGAGCCTGCTTCTCCCTCTGCCTGTGTCTCTGCCTCTCTTCTCTGTGTCTCTCATGAATAAATAAATAAAGTCTTTAAAAAATAAAAATTAAAAAAAATAAAGGTCTTATATAGCTCCCATATGTAGGACCTAGTCAAGGTTCTTACTTTTATTTGATTGTTATCTATTAAGTCTGTTAATTTAGAACAGTCCTCTCATCTTTTTTTCCCATGAAATTCTCTTTTATTTTTCTTTGCATTATATAGAGTATTATGAGATTATTTTAGTAAGACAAAAATAACTTTTACCATAAGGAATTGAGATCACTTTGAATTATATTTGGAAATACTTTTCTTAAAAAAAGATTTTAGGGGATCCCTGGGTGGCGCAGCAGTTTAGCGCCTGCCTTTGGCCCAGGGCGTGATCCTGGAGACCCAGGATCGAATCCCACATCAGGCTCCCTGCGTGGAGCCTGCTTCTCCCTCTGCCTGTGTCTCTGCCTCTCTCTCTCTCTCTCTCTCTGTGTGACTATCATAAATAAGTAAAATCTTTAAAAAAAAAAAAAATTTTAGGGTGGCCCAGGTGGCTCAGCAGTTTAGCGCCGCCTTTGACCTGGGGCCTGTTCCTGTTCCTGGATACCCGGGATCGAGTCCCATGTTGGGCTCCCTGCATGGAGCCTGCTTCTCTCTCTGCCTGTATCTCTGCGCCTCTCTCTCCCTCTCTCTCTCTCTCTTTCTGTCTGTCATTAATAAATAAATAAAATCTTAAAAAAAAAAAGATTTTATTTATTTGAGAGAGTGAGAGAGCACAAGTTGAGTGGAGGGGTAGGGAGAAAGAGAGAGAAGTAGACTCCCTGCTGAGCAGGGAGCCCAATGTGGGTCTTGATCTCAGGACTCCGGGATCATGACCTGAGCTGTAGACAGACGCTTAACCAGTTAAGCCACCCAGGCGCCCTGGAAATACTTTAAGTATTCATTCAGAAACTCTGTTTCCAGTTGGAGCAGAAGTATATTCTGTAGGCTAGCTTTTTTCAATCTTTGTTAATCTTATTGGATAAAATGAAACTTTATAAAGATTTTGAAACTTAGAAAAAAGTCTTCTGTTCTCCTTTAGTGTTATTTCAAAGTACCAAGTATTTTTAGTCAAATAAAATAAAAATTTTTTAAATAAGGTTTTTAAAAACTACATGTACTCTTCTAGGAATTAACACACTTCCTTTTTATCTGCCTTGAGGTTCACTATTATATCATGTGAAACATGTAGAATAATGTTTGAGGAATAGAAATAATTTAGGTAAAATTGTGCCAGAAATTATCCATATCTATAATGATAATTTTTTATTAGACTGTAAATCATAGGCAAACAAACTGTAGCCTATTGCTGTATTTGACCTGTTTTTTTGTATACCCTGCAAGCTGTAAATGGTCGGAAAAAAATCAAAAGGATAAAAAAGAATCAAAAGGATAATATGTCATGTGAAAGTTTTATGAAATTCAAATTTGAGTATCCATATATAAAGTGTTATTAGAACACCACCACAGGGATCCCTGGGTGGCGCAGCGGTTTGGCGCCTGCCTTTGGCCCAGGGCGTGATCCTGGAGACCCGGGATCGAGTCCCACGTCGGGCTCCCGGTGCATGGAGCCTGCTTCTCCCTCTGCCTGTGTCTCTGCCTCTCTCTCTCACTGTGTGCCTATCATAAATAAATAAAATTTAAAAAAAAAAAAAAAGAACACCACCACACTTCTTTGTTATTGGGTTATCTGTGGCTGCTTTTATGCTACAGTAGTTGAGTTGAGTAATTATAAGACAGACTTTGTGACTCATAGAGCTTAAAATATTATTATCTGGCCCTAAACATGAAAAAATTGTCAATCTCTGTTCTAAATCAACAACAGCTCATTTATATACGAATACATAGCTTTTGGTTTTCCATATTAGTGACAAGTTGTATATTTGTAACAGGAAATTGTAACCCAATAACCAAATTATACCTTCTTCTTTTAAGATTGAAGACCCACTAGCTATTCTTATTCTCTTTGATGAAGCCAGATATAATTTATTGAAGGGCTTTTATACAGCTCCTGATGCTAAACTGATAACATTGGCAAGTCTACTGTTACAAATAGTTTATGGAAATTATGAAAGTAAGAAACACAAGCAAGGTTTCCTAAAGTAAGTATTTACTACAACATGTAGTCTTGTGGTGTGCTTAAGATTCTGTTTAGCCAAGAAAGTTTAAGAATGTTATTAAGTAATATACTTTGGTTTGGAACTAAAGGATACAGACATGGAATAAGGAAAAATCAGAACAGTGGTAAAGCATTCTTAAAGTTATACTCTCTCCAGAGTTACTTTTCTTATATTTGACCATGGCTTGATGTACCTTTTTTTTTTTTTTAAGATTTTATTTTTTAAGTAATCTCTACATTCAATGTGGGGCTCCAATCCATAATCCTGAAATCAAGAGTTGCATGCTCTATTGACTGAACAAGCCAAGCACCCCTTGATATGCCTTATTTTTTTCATCTTTAATTTCTCTTTCTTTATTACATGTTTAAATAAGTTCATTAAACCCTGTCTTGGGGACGCCTGGGTGGCTCAGCAGTTGAGTGTCTGCCTTTGGCTCAGGGCGTGATCCTGGAGTCCCGGGATCGAGTCCCACATCGGGCTCCTTGCATGGAGCCTGCTTCTTCCTCTGCCTATGTCACTGTCTCTCTCTCTCTCTCTCTCTCTCTCTCTCTCATGATTAAATAAATAAACTCTTAAAAAAAAAACCAAACCTGTCTGGGTAAATAGTAGAAAATATAAGGCAGATGCATTTAAGAATCCCACCACAAAATCTAGGGACGTGTTCAGTCTTTGAGAGAAAACATTGAGATTTTAAACACTGAAGGTTTATTGTGGTTTTCAATTTTCAATTATTTTGTGGTTATTGAAAGAAGAAACGTTTAAATGAGAGTGTTAGGATTGTGACCTTTTGCTTCAAATATTTAGAGTTCTCCAATATTTTATAATAAAGATTTTTCAGCTAAAAAATCATGTTAATTAATGCAATTTGTTTCTAAATGATTTGTGTACTTTTGCTACTAAAGATGATTTATTTAAAACATGTTGACATATTTGCTTACAGTGAAGAAAATCTAAAATCCATTGTACCTATTACCAAATTGAAAAGTAAGGCACCTCACTGGACAAACCGAATACTTCATGAATACAAGGTAAGCTGTTTAATAGAAATAAAAAGACACTTTATACTCTAGTTGAAATTCTGTAAATTAAATTGTTTGAAATTGTTTAATATGATTTAAACACAGGTACATTAAATTTATAGTCCCGAAATTAAAAATGGATTTTCTAGTTCATGTAAAACTGAAAGTAACGTGATACTTTTATTTTTAATAATGAGGAATCTTTTACTGAATACTTTCTGTATGTTCTGTATGTTGGTAAAGACTAGAGATTAAATACACACATTCATGAAATGATATACTATCCCTGGCCAAGAGGCACTTAAAACCTAATAGAACAGACAAACAGTATTTTTAGATTTTGATTTTTCTTTCCTTATTTAAATATTAACATCTTGAAAGAAAAATTGCTCTTGGGATAGTGTCACAAAATTTTATTCTTCTTTGGGGGCAGACATGATTTTAGAAATTGCTTAGCTGACCCATTTGGATTATGAAAGTTATGTTCTCACCTCACATCTCTTTTATTTTACCTTATTATTATTATTATTATTTTTTTTTTTTTTTTCAGAATCTTAGTACAAGTGAGGGTGTCAGTAAAGAAATGCATCACCTTCAGCGCATGTTCTTACAAAACTGTTGGGAAATTCCTACATATGGAGCAGCTTTTTTCACAGGACAGATATTTACAAAGGCAAGCCCCAGCAATCATAAAGTCATCCCTGTGTATGTAGGAGTGAATATAAAAGGACTTCATCTCCTCAACATGGAAACTAAGGTAGATTTTCAGCTTTTCAGCTGTGTTTGGCCAGTTACATTTTATAATGTCTAAAAAAAAGGTACTAGCCTATATGAAAAATCTAGAAATGATATATAAGATTATTCATTGCAGTTTCATTTATAATAGCAAAGGAGGGATGAAAAGTAAATGTCAGGGGCAGGCCGGGTGGCTGAGCCCCAGGGCCTGATCCTGAAGACCCGGGATCAAGTCCCACATCAGGCTCCCTGCATGGAGCCTGCTTCTCCCTCTGCCTGTGTCTCTGCCTCTCTCTCTCGCTCTCTCTCATGAATAAATAAATAAAATCTTTTAAAAAAAAAAAGTGCATGTTGGTAAGGGGTTAATTGTATTATTAACTTCTATTAACTATAATATTAATTATTAACTATATATTTTTTAAATTATTAACTATATTAATTATAGTATATTTCTATGTTGAAGTACTGTGCAGCCATATAAAAGAATGAAGAATATGTAGAATAATTTCTAAGGTATATTTAATGAAAAAGCACAACAGTGAACCATGTGTAATAGGCTACTTACTATATGGGTACAAATGGGGGGAAGTGAAGACTATATTTACATAAATACATATTGCTTGTATGTGAATAAAAAGTCTCATGAAGCCTTTAGAGAAGGCAGCCAGGTAACTAGGAACAAGAGTAGGAGGGAGGTTTTTTACTATGTACCATTTTGCAACTTAAGACATTTTTTTAACTGTGATAATATTACCTATTCAAAAAAATCAATTAAGTTTATTTTTTTTTAATTTTTTTTTTTTAAATTTATGATAGTTACACAGAGAGAGAGAGAGGCAGAGACATAGGCAGAGGGAGAAGCAGGCTCCATGCACCGGGAGCCCGACGTGGGATTCGATCCCGGGTCTCCAGGATCACGCCCTGGGCCAAAGGCAGGCGCCAAACCGCTGCGCCACCCAGGGATCCCAATCAATTAAGTTTAAATGAAAAAAATACAGATTAAAAAAAGAAAAATATATCTGACACAAGGGATTCACTTTGAAAAGCAGAATTAGTTACAAGAGCCTTTTGGGGAACAGGCAAGATGAAGTGTGGTAGGGACTATGAATATTAGATCACTTCAGAGCTTTGCCATCAGAGGTGTGTTGCTATTTCATACTCCTTTTTCTAATCTAAGTCATTATAAAATGTGGGATTATTAATTATTTTTAGCATATTTGACACATTTATCAGGATGAATACCTTTCTAGTATAATAGGAAGCTAAAAAATTAATTTTGTTCATTTAGATCTGTCTACAAATAGATCATTTTTTAAGTCAGTTGAAGTAATAACTAAGCTTATATGTTAGAAAACGCATTTTGTTTATTTTTATTTTTATTTTTTTTAATTTATTTATTCATGAGAGACACAGTGACAGAGAGAGGCAGAGACACAGGCAGAAGGAGAAGCAGGCCCCATGCAGGGAGCCGGATGTGGAACTCGATCTCAGGCCTCCAGGATCATGGCCCCGGCTGAAGGCGGCACTAAACTGCTGAGCCACCAGGGCTGCCCAAAAACCCATTTAGATTAGGAAATTTTATCATAAACCTAATTTTTATTTTCATCATTTTCATAAGCTTTTATTATATAATCACATAACTTCTGAAAGTAGTTATTTTGTGATAATTCTAGATCATCCTTATGGGCAACAGCCATTTTACCATACTGTTAGATACACCTGCAAATGGATACAGAGAATATGTAGGGACATAGGGCTGAATAGGGACTGAATTCAGAATTTATCTGGAACTTGAGTGTTTTGAAGTCTCTGATGTCAGCTTGCTTTTCGGTCATTTGCTTATTATTTTCTGTTTAAGCCACTTTACTCACACAAAATAGGCTGCTTATTAGTTTTTAACCATTTTTTAATTTCCTTTGTACTAAGTTTGTTAAAGGAAATTAAAGGAGAAATTCCCAGAACCATTTCAAGAACGTTTTCCTCTGTTATTTCAGAGCATTTGATACATTTACAAATCCTTTATTGAACTAAGTGGTGATGCCATGGGTGTTGATACCGCGTCTCTTCTCTCTAAGCTACAGTGTATGTTTGGCTTTTGGTAGCATTCCATGTTTAGGCAACAATAAAATGTTTTATTTAGTTCCCAAATGATGGGTCAGCATCATAACATTTCACATCATGAACAATATTCTGGTCCAGGAGTTAGTGAGATAACAGTAAGCGGCAGAGGATGATAACATTGTTACTAGTTAACAGTTTGGTTTTTTAGGATAAGATGTTTGATTTCCAGAAATATCATTTAAAATACTGTCCTTGGGTGTAAGAAGGTGATTAAGCCAAAAAGTAACAATGTTTCCTGTCCTTTAACCACTACCTTGTGCTCTGTAAACCACTATAAATTTACAGCTCCTATGAAAGCTCTAAGTTGATTATATATTATAATGATCAAAGCTGGGAATAGTCAGCTTGTCCTCAGCTGTCTTACAATCATCAAGGTATGCTGGGGTGAAGTTAACAAGCTTACTTTAAGAGGATAAACATCTTCATTTGCAAAAATACTTTCATTTACCTTTATTTTTTTTTATTTTTTTTTCTTCTTTTTTTTTCATTTACCTTTAAAACTTATTTGGGATATAAGAACTTCAGAGATTAATTCTTGTGAAAAGCCACAGATAGAATATAGCCACATTTTTTTATATCAATTACTTCTATCTTCTCTATCTTGTTTCTCTTTGAAATAATGTGAATTTCCCATTAGAAAGTATAGCTCAGTCAATTTCATATGCTCATCAGAGATTTTTCTTTCCTACTTACATAAAATGTAGATGCTATTGAATATATAATGTACTGTGTTGTGGATCAGTGTTTTACTATAGTGACTGCATTGCTGTTTCATCACTATACTCATTGACATATTTTTAACCATAATAGCTCTCCTGCCACACCCAGGCAGTAGATTACTCTTTGCTAGCATCAATTTATTTTGGCCATCATGCCCTTCTGAAATAAAACTGGTTATTTAAATATCCACATAATGTCATTCTTCATGATCACTTGTCAATATCATGATTTCTCCTGTCTGCTGACTGGCTGTGTGTTACTTTTTACTTCTGTGGTTCACTCCCCCACCAACCCTTTTTTTCTATTGAGGGATAGATTTTATTTTTAAGTAATCTCTATACCTAATGTGGGTCTTGAACTCACAACCTAGAGATCAAGAGTCGCAGCTCCACTGACTGAGCAGCCAGGCACCCCTCTGGTTTTCCCTTTACTGCTCTCAACTATTCCTGCTATTTCTCTTGTGCTTTTTGATTTCCCTCACTAAACAACCTGACCCTTTGTAGATTTTGCCTTCCAAAGAAAATGACTTGGGGTACCTGGGTGGCTCAATTGGTTAAGTGTCTGCCTTTAGCTCAGGTCATGATCCCAGAGTTCTGGGATCGAGCCCCCTGGCAGACTCTGCTCAGTGGGGAGCCTGCTTTTCTCTCTCTCCCTCTGCCTGCCATTCTGCCTCCTTGTGCGTTCTCTCTGTCAAATAAATAAATTAAAAATCTTAACAGATAGAAACAAACAAGCAGACTTTTTCTTTCTGGAGTAGATTAATCTCTCAAAACTACCATGTGGACTCCTTGACTTCAGGTCCATTGAGCTGTTTTCATTATGAGTTTCTCAAAAATTCCTTCATGCATACTGTTCTTTAAAAACAAAACTTTATTTTAAATTTATAACTGTAGTATTCCTGTCGGTAATTTGGCCTTCATATAATTGAGGACTTGTTCCATGGGTGTATTTTTTTTCTGTATATTAAACTGTTTTGAGGCTATATTAATGGAATATTTTCTGCCTCTTGATTAACAAATTTCATCTGATCCAAAAGATAGACAGTTTAAGGTATTATATCTTGACTCAGTGTTTTATTGGGTACTTTGGTAAATAGCTATTTTAAGATTTACTATCTATAAACTTATATTTTATAATATAAATGTAGATGGCTAGTTTTAAAGAAGATGTTATTAGTAGTTTCCCATTATACATAATATACACTCATGTAAATTAAATGTACTGTAGGGATCCCTGGGTGGCGCAGCGGTTTAGCGCCTGCCTTTGGCCCAGGGTGCGATCCTGGAGACCCAGGATCGAATCCCACGTCGGGCTCCCGGTGCATGGAGCCTGCTTCTCCATCTGCCTGTGTCTCTGCCTCTCTCTCTCTCTCTCTGTCTCTCTGTGACTATCGTAAATAAATAAAAATTTTTAAAAAAATGTTAAAAAAAAGAACCCCACTTTAAAAATGCCCTAAATCATAACTTTTTCAAATAATTTCAATTAAAATCAGTGTGTTAAGAACAGCTAGTCATAGAAAGCAAAGGTTTTTAAATATGTATTTTAAAGGACACACAAATACTTTTGTACATGAATATATAAAGAATGTATTTTTAGGACAAGAAAATGCTAATTACTGCTAGGAGAGACTTATTTTAAAATAAAAAGATATGAATGCCTATTTAAATACAGCTTCTCATTGGGAAAGAGAAGGAATAGATTAGGAATAGATTATTCTAATATTTGTTTTAAATAATTTGTTGAATATATGAAAGGTATGTTAATTTTTTAAATTATGCTTTTTTTACAATAGATATATCACTGTACTTATTTTCATTGAGAGGGAATTGCCTAAGTCAACATGTTACCTCATTACATAAATTTCAGATCTGAAAGTATTATGTGAATATTCAAAACGTACTGAATAAAGTAAAAGGGAATGTTTTTAACTTGCAAAACGTAAAAACCTGTACATTTAATTTTCTTGGAAGTCACTGCATCTTTTTTTCTCACCCTTATTGAAACATAATTGACATATAACATTGTATATATTTAAGGTATACAATAGGTTGATTTGATATCCTAATATATTGAAAAATGATTACTACTGTAGCATTAGCTAACACCTCCATCATTTTACATAATTACCATTTCTTTTTGTGATGAGAACATTTAAGATATACTCTCTCAGTAACTTGAAATATATATTATAGTATTTGTTAACTGTAGTCACCATGCTATACATTACATCCCCAGAACTTACTCATCTTATACCTGCAAATTTGTACTCTATGGCCAGCATCTCCTCATTTCACCCATCTCCCAACCCTTGGTAGCCACCATTGTTTGTTTCTGTGAGTTCAGCTTCTTTAGACTCCACATGTAAGTGATATCTTGTAACATTAGTCTTTTTCTGACTTACTTAGCATAATGCTCTTGTGGTCTATCCATGTTTCAGAATGGCAGTATTTCTTTCTCATGGCTGAATAATATTCCAGAGAGAGAGAGAGAGAAGGAGGGAGACAGTGTGTGTGTGTGTGTGTGTGTGTGTGTGTACGTACATACCGCAGAACAGGCATCATTAAAATGTTTTCTCAGCCTGATACAAACAATTTATCATTGCTCAAGGCAGTCTTCTGAGAGTCTACCATCTATGTGGCTCTCTACTTAGGCTGTATGAGGTTAGTGTGGGCACTTTAAATAGATTTTATTCTAACATTAGAAACCAATATGTTTAAACATGACTTGGTCATTGTGGATAGTAAGAGCAGATAGCTGTTTTTTATGTATATTTCAATAAAACAATTTATAATTATGTTGCAGGCTTTACTCATCAGTCTTAAGTATGGCTGTTTTATGTGGCAATTGGGGGATGCTGATACATGTTTTCAGATCCATAGTATGGAAAATAAAATGAGCTTTATAGTACACACAAAACAGGTAAGTACTTATCAATTGCTTTGGACTTCTAATGAACTATGGTGTTAGTAAAGATTTCTTTTTTAAAAAGTGACAGTCTATTTTGCTTCAAGGAAAACCTTTGATATCATATAAAATTAAGATATGTAAGACCAAGAGGAAAAAGGCAGGCCTTTCCTAAGCAAATAAGGCAGAAACTTAATCTGAATAATTTATTTTAGTTTATAACAATGAAACTCCTTTTTCTGCTATTTCCTTTGATTCTGGTCAATATTCCCTATCTCTTTTATCAAGGTATTAGGTAGTCCTTACCTCTTCTTGACCAGTATCGTATCTGAGCCACTAGCTGTATCTGGTAGGTTGCTTCTTAAACCCCTTCAAAGGCTAGGTACTCCCTCTGTTCTTGACATGCTGCCTCCTGTTAAGAAATAAGAAAGTTCCTTTTCAGATAGATAGGGAACTGCCACTGCCATGTATGTAATTTACACATTCTTACATGACTCATATTTACTGTTGACATATATTTTACTTTGTAGGCTGGCCTTGTGGTAAAACTATTAATGAAGCTAAATGGACAGTTAATGCCCACCGAAAGAAATTCATGAGAGGAAAGCAGCTGATATTTAAGCCACCACATTTTGTAATGCAGATTTTTTCCATGAAAGATTTCTTAAACTATTACTTTTAAGAAGGCATTTAGTCTCTTGTAATATATATGTATACTGCTACATTGTACAGAATCTGTACTTCTGTTTGGTGTGTAATATACCAGTTAGTTTTATATAATATCCTCATAAGCTATTCTAATTTTTGAGAGAAACACACAAAAAAGTGTAGATTGATCATCTGTATATTAATGGACAAAACAGTAAGCTTTATAAAAAGTTATTTTTGGTAAATGGTAAAGAATTTGGAGTGGAATGTAATGAAATTAAAATAGAGCTTTGGTATAACTTTGTGTGTCATTTCAAAATATACTGGAAGTCAACATATTTGAATAAAAAAATATATTTTCTACTTAAACCCATGACACTATTTCAAACATTTTTCTGTTGTCCTAAAGATTGCAGATAATTTTTATATATCATAATTTATACTTCACATTAATTTATGCTTATTTCTAATGATGCTTAAGTAAATTGAATGAGAAACCCTGCTGTATCTCTAATTCTGTGCTAAGCACTTTTGATTCTGCATAGACAATGCCCTGTTCAGTTTCATACATTCCAATGGCCTCAACTGAATTACCTTGTTGACTCCCAGATCTAAAGTTTCAGCCTCAAATTCTCTTCTGAATTGTAGATCTTAATTTCCAATTTCCTGCTATTCTAGCTCTACCTGAATGGCATACCAAAGGAACTTCTATTTCATCATACCTGGAAATAGAATGTTTCCTCTGCTCGCTCAATTATGTCCTTCCACTTGTATTCTCTGTTTGGTTAGTGGCATCCTCAAATTGTATCCAGTTGCTTAGCCTGGAAATCTTGGAGTGGTTTTCAACTTCTCTCTCCTTTATCATCCTAGACATTTCATATATTTGGTCTTGTCAAATGTCTTGTGGGTCCTTTCCCATTCCCTTCCTCCCTAGTTGCACTGCATCCACCCTAGTTCAAGTCCTAACCACTTGTTCCAGTTTGTTTAACTTCCTCCCTGGCTTCCTGTGGCTGAGGCTTTACACTCTGCCCACATATCTGCCACACTAGTGCCAAGTTCACCTTTTTTATAGACTAATCATTTCATTACCTTTGGAAAACCTTTCATGGTTCTTTACTACATGTAAAATTCCAGTTCTTTAGTACTGAATACAGGGCCCCTAATTACATGGTCACTAACTTTCCTATCTAGATTAATGTGTAACCACTTTTCCCACACTCATCCTGTGCTGCAATCCAGTGTTTCCTAACCCTGGCTCTGCAGTCAAATGGGAAGTCTCACAACATTATGACTCAGTAAATGGAGGGTGGGGCTCAATGATTTGTTTTTAAAGTATCCCATGTGATTTTGATGTACAGCTAGGGTTTAGAACTGCTCTGATAACCAACCTTAGCAGTGAGCTAAATGCTTTTCCCTTCATAGAGGGAGATGAGGATGCAATGATACTACATCAGACAACTCCCAGCTCCTCAGAATACAGTGTACCCTCCTGGAGTTACACAGTATGGCAGTCCTGTAAAGAAGGGAAGTCTGTTAGAGTAGGTTGGCCATTAAAGGCTTACAGATATATAGCATTAGAAAGTCAATTTTCAAGTACAGTATTGAAGGGGAAAAATTATCATTTTCTGTAAAACCATAACAAACCAGAAATAAACACTAATGGAGAAATACAGACAGGTTTTAATGAGTGCCAAGGATTGGGCAGGCATTGAGTATATGTACACTGGGGATAAAAGATGCCATTTCCCTTTGCATCATTAAATGAATTTGAGTGCCATTTATGTGCCAGTGATCCAGTGGTTAAGAAAAACAAACCTTTTGCTTTTAGGAAGCAAGGTTTAATAAGAGGAATAAATACTCATGGAAATACATATTTATAAAGTCCAATAAATGTGTTGAAAGAAAAGTATACTATGTAAGCATATAAAGTAGGAAACTGGATCAGCTTTAGAGATGAGGAGAGGCATGCCTGAGCAAGTGATGCTTGAGCTGGCGGCAACCTAGGGGTGAGAAAGAATGACAGAAAAACATTTGAGGGAGAAGAATAATGGGGTGAGATGCTTTGAGCCCAAGAATGGCGCTAGACAATTGAGAAAACTTTCTCCTTTTTAGCTAAAAAAGCAAATTCAAACAATTGTTTATCCAAATCATAACAAAGAATTTCCATTGTAGAAATAAAACCAGAGCAGCTAATACTGCACATGATAAGTGTATTAGAAAAAAACTTGAAGAACCACATCTTATAAGATTAAAAGTTGCCAAAATTGACCACCCTATCATTAGACTTGATGGGAATATTTAACAGTAAGACTGGCCACGGTTCTTTTTTTAAGATTTTTTATTTATTTATTAGAGACAGAGAGACAGGCAGAGGGAGAAGCAGGCTCCATGCAGGGAGCCCGACGTGGGACTCGATCCCAGGACTCCAGGATCACACCCTGGGCTGAAGGCGGCGCTAAACCTCTAAGCCACCGGGGCTGCCCTAGCCACAGTTCTTGACCAAATTTAATAGATCAATTGCATCAATAACATTTAGAATTTCACTTGATCTTGAGGAACTCAATAGCAAAAACTAACTGGAAGAATTAAATATGGGGTGCCTGGGTGACTCAGTTGGTTAAGCATCTGCCTTCAGCTCAGATCATGTTCCCGTGGTCCTGGGATGGGGCCCCACATTGCATCCCTGCTTAGTGGGGAGTCCCTCTCCCTCTTATCCCTCCCTCACTTCCTGCTTATGTTCTCTCTCTCAAATAAAATCTTTTTTTAAAAAGGATTAAATATATATAAAAAACTGATTGATGAATCATTTTCTTGCTTTATAATTTATACAGAAAAATACTCCCAATGAAAATAATTTCAGTATGGGACGCCTGGGTGGCTCAACAGTTGAGCATCTGCCTTTGGCTCAGGGCGTGATACTGGAGTCCCGGGATTGAGTCCCACATCGGGCTCCCTGCATGGAGCCTGCTTCTCCCTCTGCCTATGTCGCTGCCTCTCTCTCTCTCTCTCTCTCTCTCTCTCTCATGAATAAATAAATAAAAATCTTCAGAAAATTTCAGTAAAGTGAAATGGAAAAAAATAGAACGAGAGGGAAGGAGAGAAAATGGCGTCCACGGATTACAGTACCTACAGCCAAGCTGCAGCCCAGCAGGGCTACAGTGCATACAGCGCCCAACCAACTCCAGGATATGCACAGACCACCCAGGCGTATGGGCAGCAGAGTTATGGAACCTATGGACAGCCACTGATGTCAGCTATACCCAGGCTCAGACCACTGCGACCTATGGGCAGACCGCCTATGCAACCTCTTATGGACAGCCTTCCGCTGGTTATACTACTCCAACTGCCCCCCCAGGCATACAGTCAGCCTGTCCAGGGGTACAGCACTGGTGCTTATGATACCACCACTGCTACGGTCACTACCACCCAGGCCTCCTATGCAGCTCAGTCTGCATAGCACTCAGCCTGCTTACCCAGCCTATGGGCAGCAGCCAGCAGCCACCGCACCTGCAAGACCACAGGATGGTAACAAACCCGCTGAGACTAGTCAACCTCAATCTAGCACAGGGGGTTACAACCAGCCCAGCCTAGGATATGGACAGAGTAACTACAGTTATCCCCAGGTACCTGGGAGCTGCCTCATGCAGACAGTCACAGAACCACCATCTTATCCTCCTACCAGCTACTCCTCTACACAGCCGACTAGTTATGATCAGAGCAGTTACTCTCAGCAGAACACCTATGGGCAGCCGAGCAGCTATGGACAGCAGAGTAGCTATGGTCAACAAAGCAGCTACGGGCAGCAGCCGCCCACTAGTTATCCCCCCCAAACTGGATCCTACAGCCAGGCTCCAAGTCAATATAGCCAACAGAGCAGCAGCTACGGGCAGCAGAGTTCATTCCGACAGAACCACCCCAGTAGCATGGGTGTTTATGGGCAGGAGTCTGGAGGATTTTCCGGACCAGGAGAGAACTGGAGCATGAGTGGCCCTGATAACTGGGGCAGGGGAAGAGGGGGATTTGATCTTGGAGTAATGAGCAGAGGTGGGCGGGGAGGAGGACGCGGTGGAATGGGCAGCGCTGGAGAGCGAGGCGGCTTCAAAAAGCCTGGTGGACCCATGGATGAAGGACCAGATCTTGATCTAGGCCCACGTGTAGATCCAGATGAAGACTCTGACAACAGTGCAATTTATGTGCAAGGCTTAAATGACAATGTGACTCCAGATGATCTGGCTGACTTCTTTAAGCAGTGTGGAGTTGTTAAGATGAACAAGAGAACTGGACAAGCCATGATCCATATCTACTTGGACAAGGAAACAGGAAAGCCCAAAGGTGATGCTACAGTATCCTATGAAGACCCACCAACTGCCAAGGCTGATGTGGAGTGGTTTGATGGGAAAGATTTTCAAGGAAGCAAACTTAAGGTTTCTCTTGCTCGGAAGAAACCTCCGATGAACAGCATGCGGGGTGGTATGCCTCCCCGTGAGGGCAGAGGGATGCCACCGCCACTCCGTGGAGGTCCAGGGGGCCCAGGAGGTCCTGGGGGCCCCATGGGTCGCATGGGAGGCCGTGGAGGAGACAGGTGGCTTTCCCCCAAGAGGACCCCCGGGGTTCCCGAGGGAACCCATCTGGAGGAGGAAACGTCCAGTACCGAGCTGGGGACTGGCAGTGCCCCAATCCGGGGTGTGGAAACCAGAACTTCGCCTGGAGAACAGGATGCAACCAGTGTAAGGCCCCGAAGCCTGAAGGCTTCCTTCCACCACCCTTCCCGCTCCCGGGTGGTGACCGTGGCAGAGGCGGCCCTGGTGGCATGCGGGGAGGAAGAGGTGGCCTCATGGACCGCGGTGGTCCCGGTGGGATGTTCAGAGGTGGCCGCGGTGGAGACAGAGGGGGCTTCCGTGGTGGCCGGGGCATGGACCGAGGTGGCTTTGGCGGAGGAAGACGAGGCGGTCCTGGTGGGCCCCCTGGACCTTTGATGGAACAGATGGGAGGAAGAAGAGGCGGGCGTGGAGGACCTGGAAAAATGGATAAAGGCGAGCACCGTCAGGAGCGCAGAGACCGGTCCTGCTAGACGCAGAGACCCCGCAGAGCTGCACTGACTACCAGATTTATTTTTTAAACCAGAAAATGTTTTAAATTTATAATTACATATTTATAATGTTGGCCACAACGTTATGATTATTCCTTGTCTGTACTTTATTATTTTTCACCATTTGTGAAGAAACATTAAAACAAGTTAAGGGATCCCTGGGTGGCGCAATGGTTTGGCGCCTGCCTTTGGCCCAGGGCGTGATCCTGGAGACCCGGGATCGAATCCCACGTCGGGCTCCTGGTGCATGGAGCCAGCTTCTCCCTCTGCCTATGTCTCTGCCTCTCTCCCTCTCTCTCTCTCTCTGTGACTATCATAAATAAATAAAAATTAAAAAAAAAAAAAAAAAACAAGTTAAAAGGTAGTGTGCCGAGTTTTTTTTCCTTCTTTTAAAGATGGTTGTTTAACTAAACAATGGGAACCCCTTGTGAGCATGCTCAGTATCATTGTGGAGAACCAAGAGGGCCTCTAACTGTAACAATGTTCATGGTTGTGATGTTTTTTTCTTTTTTAAATAAAATTCCAAATGTTTATAAACAAAAAAAAAATATATATATATATATATAAAGTGTTTTTTGTGCTGTGTAGAAAACTGATGAAGGAATTGAGGTGGCTTGAATTCATGCAAAAATACTTTCTCAACAAAAATCCATGTATGATTCTCATTTAAAGTTTGTATTTACAAGGTTAGACTGCCTCTAGAGTTATTGGAGAGGCAGAAGTAGGACGTCTGAAAAGGCCCTAAGGCAAAAGAAGAGGAAGCCTTGGGTTCTTAGAGGCAGGGGTGCTTGAGGCAAAGGAAATACCTTTCAGACATCTTAGAATGTGAGAAAGGTAATTTCAATATTGTACTAATTTCTATGATAGAAGGAAGTACTGGGGACACCTGGATGGCTTAGTCAGTTATGTTACAGACTTGCTTTCATTTAGGTCATGATCTCAGGGTTGTGAGATCGGGCCCTTTGTTGGGTTCCATGCTCAGTGGGTAGTCAGCTTGAGATTCCTCTCCCCTTCCAAATTCCCCCCTACTTCCAGCTCACTCTCTCTAAAATAAAATAAATAAATCCTAAAAAAAAAAAAAAAAAAAAGAATGAAGCACTGGTTGTTTGGGATTTATTGGAAGGGCACCAACAACAGATGGGAAATTAGGACTGATTTACCCATTAGTTAATAACAATAGCTAATACTTAAAATGGTGCTTACTATGGACCTTGGCACTGTTTTAGGTATATTAATTCATTTAGCCCTCACAATAATCACTATGAAGCAGATACTATTATTCCCATTTTACAGATGAAGAAACAAAGTTAAGTAGCTTGCCAAAGAGAAATAACTATTAAGTAGTGGAGCTGAGATTCATATCAAGGCAGTCTGGCTCCAGAGTATTAATGAATCAGGAACATGATGTGTGACTGTAATAAAAACATAAGATATTTGTATTCTTCTAAAAAGGTTAGAAATCAAACTTTCTAACACAGTGTTGTAAATATTTTCATTTTCATACATTGTATAACCTTGAATACAATTGTATATGGAAAGGTTATGTTGTTTGTCTAAGGTCAAAAACCAAGTGGTAGAGTTACAACTTAAAATCTGGAAGCCTGGCGTTTTGTTTTTTTGTTTTTTTTAATTTTATTTATTTACATGAGAGACAGAGAGGGAGAGAGCGCGAGCACAAGCAGAGGAAGGGGCAGAGGGAGAGGGAGAAGCAGGCTCCCTGTTGAGCAGGAAGCCAGACATAGGGCTAGATCCCAGGACCCTGGGATTATGACCTGAGCCAAAGGCAGACGCCTAAGCAGCTGAGCCACCCAGGCACCCCTGGCAGCCTGGCTTCTATATTCAAGCATTTGTCAGTTAAAGGAGAAGCTGGCAAGACTTAAAAAAAAAAAAAAACTTGAAGGATATTGTGTTCTCTGCTAATGAGGAGTCATGGGAGCCTTTGGGACTTGACTAGCTCAGATTTGTATGTTGACAGATCACACTGGACCAGTGTACTGAGGGGCTCAAAAGAGGTCTGAGCAAGACAGTGTAAGACAATGAGGAGAAGTGGGTTAATTTTTTGACAAAACCCAGTGACATTTTGGACATGGGAAACTAAGGAACAGATAGGAATCTTAAATCCCTTCTTTCTGTCCTGGGCAACTGGGAAAATGGTATCATATACTGTCTAAGATAAGGAATGGAGGACTATTTGGAGAATTGTGTTGAGGTCCATTGAGAAATGGGCAATGGTAGAGCAGCCCCAAAGCATCTTATTAGGCAAATAGATATCAGTATGCAAAAGAAATAGCTTGGTACCATCCTGCATACTATATATTCAATAAATTTCATATGGCCAAAAATTAAATATTAAAAATTTTTAATATCAGTAGAGAAAAAAGATCAGTAAATTTTAGTGGCAGCACATTTATGGATATCATGAGATATAAGAAGCTTTTTTTTTAAGATTTTATTTATTTATTCATGAGAGACACAGAGAGAGAGAGAGAAAGAGAGGTAGAGGGAGAACCAGGCTCCCCATGGGGAGCCTGATGTGGGACTCGATCCCAGGACTCCAAGATCACACCCGGAGCTAAAGGCAGACACTCAACCACCGAGCCAGCCAGGCGTCCCAAGATGTAAGAGGTTTAAAATGACTTTTAAATGTACACAATATAAAGGAAAGCAAAAGAATCAAGGAATTTAGAGCAACTGAATCTCATTCTTGGCTAACAAAGATGGAAAATGGCATTCATTTTGGAAGAGTTTGGTAGTTTCTAATTTTTTTTTTTTAATTAGAGATGAGGAGGGGCAGAGGGAAAGTTGGAGAGGGAGCATGCTCCATGCCCAGCATTGAGCCCAACCCCACAATCCTGAGATCATGACCTGAACCAAAATCAA